TTCAATTAGCTTGCAATATATTATTTTATGTAAATGCATAATGTATCAATCAAATAAATATAATATATATCAACAAATCAATGATTAACATCAATTATGATTGTATTACCCAAAATGAAACTGCTTTCCAACAATACCTATTGGCAATCGATCATTAACATCCTAACCAATTATTCTTTAATATAATTACATTCGAATACTAACTATACACATTGGCAATCAATTGCAAATTACTTCAATTGGTAATCAATTATCAACACCCCAACTGATTAATATTGATCATGTTTACAAATGATTGCAAACTATTCTCGTTGGAAATCGATTACCAATCATATACATTGGCAATCAAGCATCAACAACTCACCGATTAGCAATGATCGTGATTGCAATCAATTGCAATTAATTCTCACTAGTAATCTATTAGCTACCTTATACATTGATAATCAATTATCAATACTCCCACTGATTGGCATCGATCATGATTGCAATCGATTGCGAACGAAACTCGTTGACAATCAATTGCTAACAATTTCCATCATTAACACACCATCATTTTCTATCGCTAGCGGTTGCAATCGATTGCTAACGATGTTCTTCGATAATTTTCAAACACAATCGATTGTTAGTGATTATAATTAATTTTAATTGCTGATAATTGATTATAATCCTTATCGATGGTGAATGATGAAGGTGTTGATAATTGATTATCAATGAGCATGATTATAAATTGATTACCAATAGGTATAGAAATTTCCTGATGTAATTAAAAATATTTTTTTAAAATTATATAACTTTTTGAATTTATAACTATAATTTACAAGTTTACTTAAATTCTCTTTGAATATTTATTTAAACTCAAATTAAATTTTTGATCAAGTTCAAATTTGATTTAAAATTCAAATTGAACTTGAATCAAATTTTTAATTAAATTTAAATCTTGAACTGAACTCTTAATCAAGTTTGAATTTAATTTAAATTCAAATTAAATTAAATTAAACTTGAACTAAACCAGATTTTTTTTTAAAATTTATATAATTTAGAGTTTAGTTTAAAAATTCAAATTCAATTCAAAATCTGATTTAAATTTAGTTTAAATTTGAATTAAATTTAAATTTATAAATTATAATTAGAATTACAAATTAATTAATATTAATAATAAATATATATAAATTATAAATTATAATTTTAAATAAAGTTATAATTAAAATAAATTCTAAAATTATATATAATTAAATATTATTTTATTTAATTTAGAATAATTTATAAATTATTATAAAGTAATTAATATTAAAATAAATATTCAAAAAATTATAGTATTTATAATAAAATTCAATAAATATAAAAATTAAAATATTTTATAATACAAATTATTTAAAAATATTCAATAAACCAATATAAAAAATTTGTATTCAAATACTTTAATTACAAAAAAATATATTGTTAAATAATTTTTAATAAAAATTATAATATATTTTTTGTAATTTAAGTATTTGAATACAAATTCTTTATATTTTAAAATATTAAATATATTTAATATTTTTAGATAATTATATTATAGTTATTTTTAGTAAATATTTATTTTTTTAATAAATATACAAATTAATATATAGTATTATATATTAGTTTTAAACTAAATTCAAATTAAATTAAATTTAAATTTGTATAATAATTTAATTTGAATTTGATTCAAATTTTAAATTTTTCTTAAATTTAAACCAAATTTAATTCAAATTTTAAATCAAACTCAAATTCAAATAAAAGTTGAATTTAGTTTATAAAAATATTATTTCAAATTATTTTTATATTTAATCTAAAAAAACTGATTATTTTTTATACAGTTAAATCTCTCTATAGTCATCACTCTTGAAAAAGCAAAATTTGGTAACTATAGAGAAAATGTAACTATAAAAAGAGTTTTTTTACAATGTTTATATGTAAATAGAAAAGCAAAATAAAATGACTATAAAGAGGTGTAACTATAAACAGACATGACTATAAAGAGATTTAACTATATTTGATTTAACAAAAATCAATAAAAATTAGAATATTGATATTTTATATTCTGAATTATTTTTTGTACTTGAACTAATAAAAAATTAAATAAATATTAGATATTCTAAATTATTTTTTATATTTAATTTAATTTAATTATTTTCTTTAATTGATTTGATAAAAATTGATAAAAATTGAAATAAAATTTATATTTTGAATTATTTTTTATATTTAATTTGATAAATTTTTAATAAACAAAATAAAATTGAAAATAGATTTATTTATTTACTAATATTTAACTATTCTAGATCATTTCTTATATGATATATACCATCTAAAATCATTAAAAATTTGTATTTTATAAAATGAATAAACTTCTTTATTCAAAAGTAAATACAAACTTTAATTTGTAAATATGATATATTCTATCATACTTACAGATTAAATTTGTATTTATTTCTTAATAAGAAGTTTATCCATTTTATAAAATAAAATCTTTGATAACTTTAAATAATATACATTATATCTGTTTTTCTATTCCCATGTTTGATAATCTAGCTGTTCAATTAATTAATACAGCAATCCTATTACTAATTAAAACATAGTAATACAACTATAATATGATCATAAAAAAAGATTGTATTCAATTCTATCACATGTATAATATATATCATATTTAATTTGATAAAACTAATAAAAATCAGATTTCACATTATTTTTTATATTCAATTTGACAAAAACTAAAATAACTAAATATTAAAAATATTTTCTGTATTTAACCTGATAATACTTGCTAAATAACTAATAAAAATCTTAATACTGATTTTTAACTAGCTTTTATCAGACTTATTTCAAACTAAATATTTCAAATATATTTTGAAATAATATTTTAAGTCTGATAAAAATCATTCAGAAAATATTTTGAAATATTTAATCTGGAATAAGCCTAGCTGAAAATCGATATTATGATTGTTATTAGATATTATGATTGTTATTAAATATTATGATTGTTATTAGATATTATGATTGTTATTAGATATTATGATTGTTATTAGATATTATGATTGTTATCAGGTTAAATTTCCTGAATCCTGGAAAAGATTCAGAAAAAGAATCCTGTTTTTTTCATAGGGCTTTAAAAAATTAAAATTGGAATATTTTTATTGTAGAAACAAATGAACAACATTTTACTGGTGAATGTAAAAAGCAAAGATAGTCACTGAAGAATACAAGAACAATTCTTAATACTCAACCGAAGAGAATAAAAGAAAAAAAGGAAAATGAAGATTTTAGTAAAAAAAAGATCACGTTGAGTGAAAAATAATTCGAAGGAGAGTTAAACAAAAAAGCTCAAAGAAAAAGAGTAAGAGTTACAAAAGCCAATAAGCAAATCCGTAAATTATTATTAAACTAGTTGAAATAATGCTCAACAAGAAGAAAGAAGAAATTAAGTGAAATAATCAACCAGAGAAGGGGTAGAAAAAATACTAAAAAGTCCAACGCGATAGGTAACAACATAATGATCAACTAATAAAGAAAGCAAATGGAAAAATTAGAAAGGAAAGGCCGCGTGATTTACATTTTCTAAATTGTGACTAGAATGCGAACAAGTAATTAACGTTAATATATTTGTGATCCGTTTCTCGTAATTGGTTCAAATTTCAGACATATTTTCAAAGATCGGGAATATGCGTTCAAAAATCATTATGTTTTATTTATCATTTTTAACCTATTAAATTACTGTTGGCATTAAATGTTAATATAATTTATAAAAATATTTTGCTGTTGTGATCTCTGTCGCCGACTATCTAGTAATTTATTGTATACTAGTAGCTGTTTGCCTGCTGTTGCTCCCTTTTTTGTTGTGCATGATATCATATTCAAACGTCTTGTTGTTCGTTCTCCTTCTTCTTTTCTCCTTTTATTATTATTCTTTTTCTCGTTACAATTTCTTTCTCTTTATATCATTTTCATTGTCACCACGACTAGAATATTCTCCGGGTTAACCTTCCCCCAAAAATTCTTATTATTCCAATCTAAACATTTAATATAAAATTTAACGCATTCTTGTGTTAATAAGTACCAAAAACAACAGCCACAACAATAATAATAAAAATCAGTTTTACTACCATTTTTGGCCGAACAAGAGAAGAAGGTTATCCAATAGTTTCCAGAGAGTTCGAAAGCGGCAACAGTTACCATTCCCAACTACCAACATTATCACCACCACAATTAATTAATAAGAACCTGTGAATCAAATCAACAATCAAATCAATCAACCAACCAACATTATTACAGACATCAGTATTCAAAAAAAAGGAGGGTTCGCATAAAAAGCACAGATTCGATTAAACTGCACTTTTCTTGTGTCGCTGTTGTTTTCTTTCTTCAAACTGGAAAAAATCCAACCACATATTTTTATTTCTTTGTATTATTCTTCATTGTTATCAGTATTCAATTGTATTACTACTTTTACCGCATACACTATTGGTTCGGTGAACTTTTGTGTATAAAAACAAAGAACAATCAATCATTTCCATCAATCTTGTTAGAACTATTGGCAAAAATCAACGCGAATTATATATATAGTAAAGAGAAAGGGAATCATATACATATATGTAAAGCGCGTAAACCGATTGCTTATGGCAAACGGTGAAAAAAGATTAATGCAAGAGGATAGAATGGAAAAAAGAAAAGTTTTCAAAAGACGTCAGACAGGTACAACGTCCAAAGATGATTTTGAGGTATTTGTTAATCTTATTCTGGTCAATCAATTTAACTACTCTATACATTTAATAATTCTAATTCTAATTATATTTATATTTATATTGTATAGCTTATTCAATCTCCACCAAGCTCGCCCAAATTAACACCAAAATCAACTCACTTGACGCCGTCTTCAGTTGAAGCACCGTCACAATTACAAACGCCTCTTTCAACTCCACCATCTTCACGATCTCCCTCACCTATTCCGCCAGAAACTCCCTTCCTTATCCCTTTACCTGTCTCACGTCCATCCTCACCGATTACCACAACCACCACAATTACATTCAGAGATCCACCGATAACATCATCTAACAATGATAATAACAATTTTATAGTTTTATCTGTTTTCGATCATGATGAAGTATCTGTAGACGATGAGCATCATCCACGATTAGCACCAATAACAACAGCAACAAATATCACCGCTATTACCAATAACAACAACAGCAATAATAATTTATCATTTATAGATAGCAGCAGTATTCATCATGAACAATCACCACCTTGTTCCAGATGTCCACCTGAACTTTTGTTAAATATATTTGAAATATTGCGAGCTATTCATCAGCCTTCTTTATTTTCATGTATATTGGTTAATCGAGAATGGAACACGTTGGGGACTACCGTTCTTTGGAATAATCCAAAATTTACTCATATACGATCATTGGATAAATTCATAAAAATTATAGAAAATTCTCCTCCTCCCTCATCATCATCATCATCATCATCATCATCTTCTTCTTCTTCTTCAATCAATACTACTAATTCGTCTTTACCTTTCCCAAAGCAACCACAACGGCCGTCTTCATCATCTTCACAACATCAATTATTATCTACATCAACGACAACAACTGATTTTGATAAATCCTCATCACTACCAACGGCAGCAGTAACAACAACTACAACAACAACATCATCATCATCATTGTCGTCAATACAAAATTCAAATTCAGCACATTCTACTACATCGCCGTTGACAACAACTATTACCACTAATACAACTACTACCTTTTTTCATCCATATGCTAATTATATACGCAATTTGGATTTCACATTTCTGACCGAACATGATAGAAATAATTCAACGCTATCGTCACACTTGCTCCGATTACTTCCCATAATTCACAACGGGAATCTACAAAGCCTGAATCTCAGTTTCGTTAAAGGGATCACAAATAGTTATTTAACCAAGCTATTATCACCTTTCTTTGCAAATATACGCACGATAAATCTGGCAGGTGGATCGAGATCCGACGCATGTTTATCCGCGGTAATACCACATTGTCATCAAGTGCAAAATCTTTCGTTTGCATGGAACACCTCACTATCGGACACGTCAATCACAAAAATTGCCACTTTATGTGGGTCACGATTACGCACGCTGGATCTGACAAATTGTGAGAAAGTCAGTGATCGATCAATGTCATCGATTGCAAAACATTGTAGCAAACTAAGGGAACTACGAGTTAGCTATTGTCGTGGGGTTAGCGAGGTGGGAGTGAGGGAAGTGGTGGATGCGTGTGATGGATTAACATTGGTGGATTTGGTCGGGTGTTTGGGTGTGGATCGTGGCTTTTTGATAAAGTGTAATGAAGAATTTTCATTGCAAAGACGTGGATTGAAAATAGTGTGGCGAAGAGATTCTGAGGGTGGTGGAACTGCTACTTGGGCGGATAATTGAATAACAATATAATTATTTTTTGATTAAATATTTATTGCGTGTATGTATTATTTAGTGATGGTTGTGCATATTTAGCGTTGTGCATAAAGCATAAAAAGAGAATCGAACAATAAAAATATTTATTCTTATTATTATTTGCATGTGTGAATACGATCATCTTGCATGTGAAAGAACAAATTAACTTTTTTTGTGTGCGACCATGATATTTGTATATGATTCGTTACATTCCTTCACGGTTACACAATTCGATTTTTTCTACTAAATAGTCATCTGTAGTTAATCTGTAGTCATGCGATGTCGATAGCCGGAACATCCCGGTACGGCAGAAAGTTACGGTATATCACATGTTTTCAAAAATAATCTTTGGTTCTTTGCGTCGTTATGCTGAATTGTCGTTCGTCACTCCATTTTACCATTTTATTTAGTCGTTTTTAAACTTCTGCCAATAAGGCAAGGATTCTTTGTAATGTCGGGCTCGATGTTCTTACGAGCGGGTAGATCTGCTCTAAATATTTTACGTCCAAAACCTTTTGGACTGCATCATACATCTTTAACGAAATTACGTGCCTCTGGTGCTATTCCCTCTCTCAATGCTGTTCGTACCAAAGTCTCAGCTGTCAACTCGCCATATCCACAAACAAGTCAGTCAAACGATGTTTTCCTTCAAGGAAGTACCGCAGGCTACGTTGACGAAATGTATCAAGCTTGGTTGAAAGATCCGAATTCGGTGCATTTATCGTGGCAAGTGTATTTTCGAAATATGCAAGCTGGTGTAAATCCACTAGAAGCTTTTCAACCACCACCTACTCTAGTTCACATTACCACTGGTATTGGGGCGGGATTAACTCCCAGCTCACAGACATTTAATGTCACAGATCATATGAAAGTGCAGCTAATAGTCAGAGCTTATCAAGTGCGTGGACATCAAATTGCTCAACTGGATCCTCTTGGAATTATGCATGCTGATCTCGATCCTTCCATACCTTCCGAGCTTGATCCTTCATATTATGGTTTTACCGAACGAGATCTCGATAGAGTATTCACATTGGGTCCGGGTATCTTGCCTGGTTTTATGGAATCAACCCCCAAAATGACTCTTCGAGAAATCGTTGAGCATTGCAAAAAAACTTACTGTAAATATTTTCGATTCTCATCACCAGAGTTGTCAATTTTTGCTTCCAGTGGCCTTTTATGACAACTGGAAGCCCATTGGAAAGTTTAATTTTGCTTCCAATGGCCTTCCAATGATCCTTCCAATGATCTTCCAAGTACTTCCATTGACAACATTGCTCATCACCAGTTGAAATATTTTTAACGTTTCAATTTTATCAATATAAATGAATTATTTTATTTTAAAAAAGGCAAAACAATCGGTATAGAATATATTCATATTGTGGATCGCGTGCAATGCGATTGGATTCGTTCGAGAATGGAAATTGAAAAACCGTTTGATTATTCGAAAGAAGAAAAACACATGATTCTTGATCGTCTAATTTGGAGTGATTCATTCGAGCGCTTCGTTGCAACAAAATATCCAAATGAGAAAAGATTTGGTCTCGAAGGATGTGAAAGTTTAATTCCCGGTATGAAAGCTTTGGTAAGCCATATGAAATAACTATTTAACCTAACAATCTATAATGCGTAACAACTATATTTAATCATAAAGCATGCGATTAATATCGATCACTCGATTTCTAGATTGATCGTTCGGTCGATCTGGGCGTTGAACAAATCGTACTCGGAATGCCACATCGTGGTCGTTTAAATGTTCTTAGTAATGTAATTCGAAGACCTAATGAATCTGTTTTCTCTGATTTTGGTGGCACGGCTGAACCGGGCGAAGAAGGTTCTGGTGATGTAAAATATCATTTGGGGATGAACTTTGACCGACCAACACCTTCTGGTAAACGAGTTCATCTTTCACTTGCAGCGAATCCATCACACTTGGAAGCTGTAGATCCAGTTGTGCTGGGAAAAACACGAGCCATTCAGTTTTACATGAACGATGAGAAGGATCGACATCGCGCAATGGCTGTTTTAATACACGGGGATGCTGCGTTTGCAGCACAAGGAGTTGTCTATGAAACTATGGGATTCCACGACCTACCGAATTATACCACGGGTGGAACTGTTCATATTATTGTGAATAATCAGATAGGGTTCACTACTGATCCTCGATTCTCGCGCTCTACGCCGTATTGTTCAGATATAGCCAAGATGGTCAGTGCACCAATATTTCATGTTAATGCTGACGATGTTGAGGCGGTGAATTTCGTGTGTCAAGTTGCAGCTGAATGGCGTCAAAAATTCAAAAAGGATGTGATCGTTGATCTTGTGGGCTATCGTAAGCACGGTCACAATGAAGTGGATCAACCAAGTTTCACACATCCCAGAATGTATAAACAAATTGGCAAGCAGACACCTATACTTGAAAAGTATATTCAGGCACTTTTGAAAGATGGCACATTCACTGAAGAAGAAATTAAGAATCACAAAAAATGGATTTGGGATACTTTGGAAGATAGTTATGCAAAAAGCAAAGATTACAAGCCAACTAGCCGCGAATGGCTATCGAGCTCATGGCATGGTAAGCATTCGATATTTACATAGGTCACTATTATATAATACGTTTATTAATATCTTGTAAAACAAAAGGTTTCAAATCGCCAAAGGAAATAGCAGAACTGACGATGCCTGTTTATCCAACTGGTGCAGCAACAGAATCACTTAAACATGTTGGTCAAATGATTAGTTCTTATCCGAAGAATTTTAATGTTCATCCAGCTCTCGGTCGTATACTAAAAGCGCGTGATAAATCTATTACAGAAGGGCAAAATATTGATTGGGCAACTGCAGAGGGTCTCGCGTTCGGATCCTTGCTCTTGGAACACAAACATGTTCGCCTGTCCGGTCAAGATGTAGAACGGGGGACATTTTCTCAACGTCACGCTGTTCTGCATGACCAAGTAACTGAATACCAATATGTGCCCCTCAATGATTTAGGTGTTGGACAAGCAGCGCATTTCACCGTATGCAATTCATCACTTTCCGAATATGGAATACTTGGATTCGAATTGGGTTATTCATTAGTTAATCCAAATTCACTTGTATTATGGGAAGCTCAATTCGGTGATTTCGCCAACAATGCACAATGTATCATTGATCAATTCATTGCGTCTGGTGAAAAGAAATGGCTTCAACGTACTGGCTTGGTGTGTTTATTACCACACGGTTACGATGGACAGGGACCTGAACATTCTAGTGGACGTATTGAACGTTTCTTACAGCTGTGTGATGACCATCCTTATGTATTTCCTTCACCCGAAAAGGTGGCACGCCAACATCAGGATTGTAATATGCAAGTAGTCTATTGCTCAACCCCCGCAAACTATTTCCATGCATTGAGAAGACAGATTCATCGGGACTTTAGAAAACCTGTAAGCTGATTATCATCATTTTTAATATAATTAAAATTTTAATAATAATTATTATTTGACATGTAGCTTATTGTCTTCACCTCAAAACTTCTCTTACGTCATCCAATGGCTCGTTCTTCTCTGGAAGAAATGTCCGGAGATACTTACTTCCAACGCTACATCCCTGATCCACATCCTGAAAATCTGGCATCCCCCGAGAAAATTACACGTCACGTTTTTTGCACTGGACAAGTTTACTACGCACTCCTCAAAGCTCGAAACCTAAACAACATGGATCACGTTGCAATTTCACGCCTAGAACAAATAAATCCGTTCCCGTATGATTTAATTGCCAATCATATTGATAAATATCCAAATGCACAGATTATATGGGCACAAGAAGAACCATTGAATGGAGGCGCATTTGCTTATATTGCGCCAAGGATTCGCACAGTGGCTAATCACACTAAATATCATCAAGGTATATTGTTTGTTTATTTACGGCTTTCCATGAAATTTATGGCTTTCCATGAAAGATTTTGCTGCCATACTAAAATAATTTACTACCTATTTACAGGTAAGGCAGCAAAACCAGCAACTCGTCCTCCTGCAGCCTCACCCTCGACAGGCAATAAAAAGATTCACATTCAAGAAGAGCAAGATGTATTATCGGAGGCATTAATAGGACAGGTTGTAAGACCACAAAAAATAGATAATGGGGTGCCGATTTGGAGTTAATTAGAATGCGACTATTATTGGAAAAAAAAAACATTTATTTTCTCAATTTTATGAAACAATAAATTATCTGTGATATGATTGGGTAAATGTGTTATTTATTTGATAGACATGTAAATTATTATCGTAGCAATAAACTACAAAAATTTTTTCACGCGATTTTTCGGAAGCACTGGTCAAACGTTAACATTCCCATTCCGTATTACCTAATTTATGAATTTACTGTTTAATGACCCAAATCTGATGTATGAGAAGCACACAAAAGTTTTCAGTGTACTCTTACACTACATTGATTAATTTCCATAAACAACAAATACGAATAATATGATTATATATATGACGAAAATGCGCTGCACTTTATCGACTCAAGAATAAAAAAGTTCAACGTCCAGCAATTACTTGGCGATGACAATGCTTTATTGTCCATTGATCCTGATTGTCTGATAATCATCAAATGTCGCAGGAAAGCGAGAATGCGTTCGTTACTCGTATTACGATTATTGCTTATGCAAAGGTTCTCGTGACCATTATGTCGGAAGCACAGAACAAACTTTGTATGAAATACATAAATGAGAACTTTCTTCATTATATAATGTGCCCTGTCGCTATGTGTCCAATCACTGCATCTTATTATTCTTTGATAGCTAACTACTCCGGGAAATAATTAGAGCTCGCTAACCAAGTTGATTTTTGCAATATACACATATAAAATTGGTTAAATTTGAAATTTTATCGACAGATCGAGTCCAAATGACTTTGTGGCAAATGACTAATTAGGCAGGATATTTACCAGTTCCTTCACGTGAAACCATGCCGAATGTCATAGTTCAATGGGATACACCTGCAAAAGTTTTTTGAATATCTTTACTATTACCAAGAATTTCAGGTAATCTTCATTATCGAAACATATTTGGAACATTCAAGACACCAGAGACGAGATTCCAGGATTACCAACAAACTTCAAATGTCGATGGATTACCATAAATCGACGAGACTGCTCGTAAAAAATGATGTTGGGTTGTTTTAATTAATAACTATTATGAACCCAAGAATATCTAACGATAACTAAAAATGGATGACAACTATTATTATTGTGTTTCTCAATTTTCTGAAAACGAAAAACAGAGTCAACAACTTTAAAACATGTCAGCATGGATATGTCCCCTTTTTGCTAATCACCTCGAGCGTAGGTTTTATTTAATTACCTTTGGTCTTTTGAAATGTAGAGGTAACAAACAGTCAATCCCAGTAAGGTTGATCTTTTTATTTCAATTTAAATTTTGGAAAATAACTAAATGATAAAAATTTCAGAGGAAAAGATAACTTGAAACTGACGTGTCTCTATAGCTTTTGCCTTTTATCTTTGTTAAAAATAACAATACCCAAAAAAAAATTGAAAACGCATTTATGCATATTTTAACTTTGTATCATGTCATTATTCATTCGTATATTAAAATATAAATAATCATTTACTCTATGTACATTTTCATTGACTGGCATTCATTAACAAGATCAAACAAAATATTCCATCAATGTCTTCCATCATTTTGACCACAATCCAATCAACACACCAAAATTGGTTCTTTTATAAATAGATTCGCGTTCGGCAAGATTCAAAACGTTCTCCGGAACTCTTGAATAAAAAAATGGCAAACGAAGAAGAAATATGCGACTTTTTAGACTCTTTTGAAATTAAAAGAGAACACCACCCACTCTCACAAATTTCCAAAGACAGTAATAACAACAGCAGCAATAACAATAACAACGATAACAACGACAACAATAACAATAATAACACAGACACCATGGACAGTCACCACTTCAACAACGACATTAATAATAATACTATAAATAACCATAAAGTATATAACACCAACAATAACAATAATATTCTTAACCAAGAAGATATTGAAAACGAATTTCCACTTACCGAAATGCCTCCAGAAGAGTTAAATACTCATAAACGTGCTTTCTTGGAGTCGTCTTTCCACGAAGACTCGCGAAAACGCACGCGTTTAACTGTAACTGACTCTGACCCTTCTAATTTAAATACTCTAATTATTGCTACCCCTCCTGCTACTAATCCACTAAGTTACGAAACCAACAATTATTTCTATCCTAAAGAAACTTTTACGCCAATTCAAAACTATACTTTGTTTCCACCTACTACTGACAGTAATCCCTTTCTTACAGTTAATGAAAATTATAATGATTTTCAACAACAAGACGCGAATGAAATTGAATGCTTTAGTGAGGACAACGTCGAAGTTGTAGATTTGTATACTGAGAAAAAACGTCTTCAAGAACTAGAAGATGCTCAACTGGCCAGAAATTTACAACTTATGTTTGATAGTGAATCTACTAATGACGAACAACTGAGACGCGACGAAGAATTAGCAAGACAACTGGCAGCCGAAATAAATGGAAATGCTAATGGTGCTTCTTTTTCGTCAGACGTTACGGCATCGTCTTCTACAGCGACAACTTATACGACGACCACTTCAGCAACGGCATCGACGTCTGATCCTGTGATTCCAATGTCTACGGATAATTCTTTCATAGGTAATCAACAAAACACTGATTTCAGCTACTTCGATAATACCAATCATCATTTTCAACAATATCAACCACCATCACAACACCATTCTTATCTTCCGAACATTTCCACTCTTGAAACAGATTTAAGTTCATTTTCCATCTCCGATATTGATCCAACACAGAATCCACCGCAAGAAATTACTGATTTAACGCAGAATGATGTGGAACAAGTTTCTTTGGATGCTGATTGGATGTTTAATAGCCTCACAACTGGACTTCCACTCCCTCCTCTCTATGGTACTTCATTAAATCAATATTTTATCTTCCCTCCTAATTGGTCTAATATTGATCTCGATTCATTTGGCTTAACTAATAATTCTGGAACAATAAAAGAACAATCAATCCTAGCGCCGCCATCTTCAACTTCTTTAACATCATCATCGTCGTCAACTTCTCTAACATCACCATTGTCCTCGTCATCCTCAACTTCTTTAACATCACCATTGTCCTCGTCATCCTCAACTTCTTTAGCATCATCATCATCGTCATCGTCATCTTCCAACTTTCTACGACAATCATCTTTTATGACTGCAGCCGAAATGCATAAGTTAAATGAAGAGACAACTTTATCTCAAAACATAGGAGCTACTTTGAATAAAATTGATGTTGAAGGTGAAATCGAATTCGAGAACAATAACAGATTAGAATTATACGAAGGAATTATTCAAAAACCTCCATCTACTAAAAAAAGTCAGGAAGAACGATTTCGTGCCTTACTTGAAGACATTAATACCGATTTAGACACGTTGACACCACAAGATCGAACTGGCACACCAGACAATCTAATTCCGACCTTGATGGAACATCAAGTCATTGGTCTCACGTGGTTGATCAAAAAGGAAGAAAGCACAAATCACGGAGGAATTCTTGCTGATGATATGGGGCTTGGAAAAACAATTCAATCACTTGCACTAATTTTGGCACGTCCTTCCACCGTCAATTTACGGAAACCAACCCTTGTCGTAACGCCAGTCTCGTTAATGTATCAATGGGCTAATGAATTCGAGACAAAAACACGGGGACTATCAGTCTTTGTGCATCACAGCAAAAATAAAATTTCATCCAGTCGACAATGTCAAAAATACGACGTAATTATCACGAGTTATCATACAATCGCCGGTGAATTCGAGGCACGAATTGCTCCGATTACTGGTGCAAAGTGGCACAGAATAATCCTCGATGAAGCTCAGTCGATAAAAAATCAACGTACAAAAGCTGCAAAAGCTTGCTGCCAATTGGATGCTACTTACAGATGGTGTCTATCGGGAACTCCTATTCAGAATAATATCGAGGAACTCTATTCTCTCATCAAATTCCTTCGAATTGAGCCTTATTGTGACTGGAATGAATTTCGCAAAGATTTCGTAAAGTCAAACTCACAAATTGTTGTAATGAAACGCTTACAAGTCGTACTGAAATCAATCCTGTTGAGACGTAATAAAAATGCTAAAATCAACGGCAAGCCAATTATAATGCTTCCTGCACGCCATGTCCATCTCACAAACACTTATTTCTCCCCGGAAGAGCGAGAATTCTATTACTCTTTGGAGAAAAGAAGTCGACTCACCTTCAATCGATTTTTGAAAGAGGGTTCTGTCATGAAGAATTACTCAAATATTCTTCAACTTTTACTGAGACTTCGCCAAGCGTGTTGTCATCCATTCCTCATTCAAGATCGCAATGTTGTTGAAGGAGAAGACGGTGAAAACAATAAAGATACTTTTGAAACAATCTTTGAAAAAATGAATCAAGATGTTATCAACCGATTGAAAGACCAAGATCTCGAGCAAAAAGAATGTCCAATTTGTTATGATTCCGCTGTTGATCTTTCGATTCTTGTGTTATGCGGTCATTCTTATTGTCGTGAATGTCTTCATGGATTATTTGAAGTAGGGCCAGGAACAAAATCATGTCCTGAATGTCGCGGAAAGTTTACGATGACTGAAGTTTTACCTTACTCGCAACTCAAAAAGAAATTGAATATCTCTTCTGACGACGATTCCGACGAGTCAACAAGCAAAGGAAAAGGGAAGGGAAAGGAAAAAGATGAAGGTGCGGATGCAGATGCTGCAGATGCAGAAGAAGCCGAGCTCCCTTTTATACTTCCCGATAACGAAGAGTGGATTCCTAGTTCGAAGATTGAACGTACAATAAATCTTCTCAAAGATTTCCGAAGAAATTCACCCGGCGATAAAACAATAATTTTCAGTCAATTCACTAGATTACTGGATCTCGTGGAGTACACCTTAAGGGATAATGGATTTAAATTCACTCGCTATGACGGGAAATTGAATACAAATGAGCGCACTGAGGCTTTGAAAACTTTTGAAGAGCGTCAAGATATCAATGTGATTCTAGTCAGCTTAAAATGTGGAGGTGTGGGTTTGAATTTAACGACTGCCAATCGCGTTATTATGTTGGATCCTTGGTGGAATCCGGCAATGGAAAATCAAGCAATCGACAGAGTTCATAGAATTGGACAAGAGAAAGATGTCGAAGTACACCGAATTATCATTCCTAACACCATCGAACAACGAATTCTTGATCTGCAAGACAAAAAACAACAATTAGCGTCACAGGTATTGGGCGAGGGTGGCTCAGCACAAATCGGTCGTTTGGGACTTCAAGATCTCATGTACCTATTCCGGGGATAAGGATAAAGAATTGTATTTTCGTGGGTGTTGGCGTGGTGATATGATAAAGTTTACTTTTACTTGGCGATTAAATAATAAACAAACTTGGGCATATTACTATTTTTATTTTCATGACAAATAAATATTTAGAGGACATATTTTTATCAACTTTTTTTTTAGTATTTATGAATTACACTTCAAAAAGATTTAATTAATTGTCAATTTTTGGATAGTAACCAAATAGAATCAATTTAAGCTCTGCATTAGTGCAGCAGAATACGTTATATATAAGTGTATTTAGATCCATAGTGCATCTCAGTATTTTCACAATCAACAATTCAAGAAATAACCAAAATCATCGAGTTTGGCATGATGAGCAAAGTTATTTACTTTACAACAAATAATGCAGCCAGCATGAAAAAGGCTACAAGAATGATAAATGCTTAATTAGTACATCAAGAACTTTTGGCAGAAGCGTCTATAGCTTGAGCAAAATGATTGGAAAGTGTGCGCACACATTCACAATTCGGGTTGCTAAAGAAAATATAAATTTTATCCAAAACAATAAAAAACTTGTTTTTGGTCTTGGAATAAACTCTAAGCCCAAACAAAGAAGGATCGAAGTTATGACTGTCACTATCGAAAGAGCCGGTGAACTCTTAATTAGCTGGACACTGCCTTTGATCCTGATAGATAATCCTGAAATCAGCGTCTCATAGTCAACCTATATGCAAAAATTGCCAATCCAGTAAACGCTGCAGGTATAAAAGACAAGATCAAATGAAACTACTAGGAGGATCATTGTTGCAGCGTGAGTGATTCGGGGGGAAATTATTTTTCAAAATCCGAAATGTTTCCAGTGAACTTTCGTTTCGCCCTATAAGTCCAAACCTTAATTTTGAAACACTTTGTAATCAAATTGGGCGAAACAGTACATGAAACTTCGTGAAATTGAGCGACACTGATCCGTTTAAATGGTAGAAGATCCACGCACATTATTTTCCAACCTTGGCACAAAATATTAGTGCGTTTCAGCCAGATCTGCATCAAGTAAACAGTTATTTTTAGATGCTGCAATATTATGGCAAACACAATTCGTTAAACCTATTCTTTGAAATAAAATAGGTTTAAGAGGAGGTGGGTGGGTTCATCTGATTCGTTCAACATTTGAATGCTGAATTTTTGAATTCTTTATTATTTCCCATTATGATTAAACATCCCCCACCTATCTCTAATAAATATAGTAAATATCTACCAAACACTACAATTCCGAAAGCATATTTTTTACAACATTATAATACTCTTTATGGACATAATCTTTCATTTCTTGTTTTGTGACCCATGCGAAGTCCACCACTTCTTCCCTATCTATTTTTACTTGTCCCGCGAATATGTGACCTTTCATGAAAAATACCTTTTTATGTCATTATGTAGATATCAATTAATTAATAAATTAATTTGTATACTTGAAAATAATGAGAAAAAGATAAAAATCGCACCTTTGCCCCAATATAATTTTGATGGTCTTTCTTTATCACTTCTGGAAAATCGTATTTATAGAAACCAATAGGCCTTCGACCTACTATCCAAACATCCATATCAGGTCCACATTCTTCTGTTAATTCACGTTTAGCAGCCTTGTTTTTTGACGTGAGAAAAATAAAGATATTCTCAATAATTTCAAATGCCATTAGGTATTAGTTATCATTATAAAAATAAAATACCTCATGTAAATATTCATTGGCTCTGACACCACCCTGTGGAAACTGCCATGCGTGCATCTCCCTCGGTTTCCTTACAATCAAATACAGCGTTCGTTGCAACGCCCTATCCAACGACTTGAGATCATTTCTCCGATCCGCGTCCGTAATTCTACTAGCAACCTGTACCTGCTCAACTTCCTCAGCAGCAATCAGATCCTGTTGTTTTGCATCCAACTTCATTTGCGTTTTAATTAACGTCACCAATCCGTTTTCACGTGCCTTTTCTATTTCTCCAGAATTTTCACGATCTCTTTTTTCTTGCCATAATTTCTCTGAGGCGCTACCTTTCTTAAAGTAAAACTCAACGGGAAAAGCAGCAGCGTGTATGCGTGCCAAGTGTCGTTGATATGCATAGTATTCGCGTTCGAACGGATGCAGGTCTCGTGTAATAATTGGACTACGACACAAGACTATTCCTGCTACCGTTCTGTATGAGGGATCAATATTAATTTGCGAGTATTGTAGTGGTGGTGGATCAAGGAATATGCGATTTGAGGAATGGGAGTCAGTTTTCCGAGAAGTTGTTGAAGAGTTTGCTGGACGAAGGTAATAGCCACAGAATTAATCTTTGTTATATGAACATTTCAAAGTCAGTTTTATTAATTAGAATTTGCAAGAAAGAAAATTGGTAAAGGATATCTAACCAATATTTGTTCGTGATGCCTTCTTCGGTCTTGCTGTCATTGCAGTAGTTTTACTCATGAATGCGGTTAATGCAAGGACGAAACGTGCAGACGAAGTTAAAAACATAATTCTGCTGTCTCGTAATTTTTGATATTTCTATAAGTGTGTAAATGTATTGAACAGATGTCGCGAAAAAAGACGAAGTTGCAGTAAATAAGGATAAACAGTTTCTTTGATAATACAATATTTTATTTCTAGTCTTGCACTGTCGCAAATTGCCATAAATATAATGTGAGAAATAAAAAAACGATGAAGAAAATGAATACTATTTAAAGATGACTAACGTATTTGAGAAGCGGGATGTAAAATATCAGTAATCATAATCTATAGAGTTCATCAACGCCATTCATTACAATTAACTGATCAATAGCTTCATCCAACTTGACTACCTTAAACCGTACGAAAATCGAAGCTTGGGTTTCCCTCAACAAAGTGACAATGCTACAGGATACACCGGCCCTCTTGAATAGGGTAGGAAATTTCTATCAGATTTTCTTTGTATATCCATTTAACTGATACGACAAAGCACGTTTCGTCACTGGATTTGGGTTCGATTTTACAAGATAAATTAAGGACATTATCGACAATGCCATACGACTATATATATTGTGTTTGATCAAATCTTAATAGACGCGTGGCAAGATCGAGAAATGGCTGGACTTCTGATAAGTAGATGACGAGAACACCAACAGCCGGAAATTTAGTAATCATAACGAAAGTTTGAAAAGAAATATCGAATTAGAGTATCCAGTTTACTGCACATGCAGAATTCACAGAAATGTCAATAGGAAAATTTGATTCACAAATAGGATACTTTACGATAATCGAACTTTTCAGATTTCTAATTGTCACATCTATTAGATGCTGTAGCGACTGGTATGTGAACTCGATTTTATAATTTTAGCAGCCTAAAGATTATGAGAAAATTAACCCTCAATACCTTTCAAGAAATGAAATAAAAATATAAATATGAGAAATTTTAAATGAAAGTGTTAATTAACCAATAATTTTATTTTAACCAGTCAAAAATACAAATCAATGAATAGTATATCCGATATTAATCTTCGTTAAATTTGAATATTTAGAATATATTTAATCTTCAGTCTCTTTCACTAATTGTTCCAATTCTTCTAAATTCCATCCAATCTCCGATTTGGTCAACTTGAAATTATGTATTTGATGTGCAAGGGCTCGAATAATCGAATCACTGAAAAGAAATCGCGTATTATCATTAATACAAATAAAATTGACATAAATAAGATGATTAGTATTTACCTTGCTTTCATACACCAAACACAATAATCATCAATCCATATTTTCGAATACACATAATAAACGTCATGATGATCAAATAATTCTTTTAATTCCATGAGACATTTAAGGATTGCGCGTCTGCCTAGTTTTAAAATCACGTATACATCTTGGAGAATTTTTTCGCAGAGTTCGTAGTTTCGGTAGAGTGGATATGATAGTGCGCGACGATACAATGCGGTTATTGTGCTTTTTAGGGTTGCAAAACGCTACGGGATTTGAAGTTAATAGTTAGATTTTATATGTAAGATGTAATTGATTTCTCTGAAGGACAATTCAGTTACCTCAAGGCATGATATCGTCGAGCTTAGTTTTCCCACAGTCCATACAGACTCTATGGTATTCTCGCCTTCGGTCATGCGATGATTGTAGCTGTATGCAAAAAGTAAGTCTATTAATCCAAGGTAAATTGATTTTTCATCATCAAGGAGATCTAAATAAAATAATTGATATTAAAAATATTGAAAAACATTATAAAATTCGCTACCAATATAAATAAGTCTTACATTCTTTATTCGGTAAATTCAACATTATCTCTTGTTCACGTTTTGTGAATTGTAAAAAGTTCTTTGAAAAAGTTGCACCATTGCTTTGCTGATTTTGTGCGGATGCGATGACCTCATTCTCTATCTTGCTATTTGAGGAGTTGGATGTAGTTGAAGTGCCGAGTGATTTTGAAGATTCCCCTGTTATTGCAGGTTTACTTTCTGCTTAAACAATTTCAATAAAAATTTGTCATTCATCCAAACCCCCCCCCCCCCCTAAATTACCATTTGAAGAGTCAACAATTGAAGACTTTGATTCTTCTTTGGTAGCTTGTATTTTACGTAAAAGTTTCCACCACACAGTTTTATAATTCATGACGCGTTTAATTTCCTCATCAGAAGCATAATCACCCCTAAAATAATAAATTTACGTAAAAATTAACATGAAATAATAATCAAAAACTCACATAAAATACTCGTCATCAAATTTAATATCCTCGGCCTCAATTCGATCTCTACGTCTGGATTCAAATGTTGAGCTCTCCGGATCCTTGATCTCATTAATCTCATTACAAGTCTCTTGGACGTGAGTAAAGTATCGATTATATTGTTCATTGAAACCATAACGTGTTGTGATTAATAATTCCTGTATTATGATCAGATTAAGATTATTTTTAACCAATTTTTCTTTTTTCTTGCAATTTTATCAATCTTTACCGGTTGCTTTGGAATTTCTTGTTCAATTTCCCAGTCAAAATCTAAAGCTATGAATTAAATAAAAAACCGGCTTATTATCGAAAAAGTTTTTAAACATGATATTTACTTATTACCTTCATCAAACTCTGAGAATCTTTTTTCCATTCGATTTTCCACATCATTATCATCACACCCTCTTTTCTCCTCAACAACCTCGATTAAAGTCTTTGAAGATTTCTGTTTTTCTTGATCACGAGAATTTTCTCTTTGTCTGGCCAAAAGTTTAGTCAAAAGATCTAAATCCGGGAAATATTCTCCAGGATTTTCTTTTGCCAATTTTACATTAATATCACCTTTCGATATATCAAGCAATGCCTCTGAACGATCATCTTCAACAATATTTCCTGGGAATCTTAATCTAAAATATTACCATGGATTAGTAGAATCTAGAATTAAAAAGACTTCATCGTAATAAAAATAAGACCTTCTATAATACCTTAGATAATATGGATGAAGGAAAAACTTGAATTCATTATTTTCTATGTAAAATTCTACATCTTGTGCCTGTTAATTTCCAAAATCATATACATGATAAGCATTAACCCTTTGATTTGATGATCAACATATCAAGACTAATCGTTGGAAATTCGTTAGCATTTTTGTATGGAAGCTTTTTATTACCTTAACATAAGGTACATGAACATTAATTTTTATAAAATTATCATCTTGGTCGACTGAAAAGGCAGGAGTAATCATATTTTACTAATTTAAAACAATATGTAAAAATTTTCTTTTTATTTTTTTGGTAAATCACGTGAGACTACTGAGTTTCTGTTATACAGATGCACGTGCAGAATCAATTGCTGCGCAAAATGCACACTCTAAATAAAGATTTGTCAGATTTGTCATCAGATGACGATAACTAATTATATGATGATGTTCCTTCAACATTGAATATTTTGTATTTGAAATTTAATTACATTTACCTTACTTTTACCACCCAAAGAATGTCGCAAAAATTCCAAAGTAAAAAACGAAAAGGAGGTAAATTACAATAAAAAATTAATTACAGCCACTTTGTAATTTAACCTTGTCATTTCGTTGTTTTATACTGGCAGACGAAGAATACAAAGGCCTCGTCAAAAAAATCAGTATTAAACAATCAAAAAACGGATCTAAAAATGACAGCGTGGCTTCCGCTGTAAATAATGAATCAAATGCTGGAGACGACGAGGCAATAAGTAAATTATTTTTATATTATTGCTCAATTGGGTAAATTTAAGGATATTTACTTTTATTCTTGTTTTATAGTTCCGAAAATGGCTATGTTAAATGCTGACGCAATAATTTATGCTTCGCAGTCAGCAAACAGCTACTCTGCAAATGACGCTGTCTCTAAACTCTTTGGAGAACAAGATTTCTCAAGTATTGCCTTAAAGCCTGACCATGAGTCGCGTCCACTTTGGATAAATCCTATCAATGGGATCATTACACTTGAAGCTTTTTCACCTATAGCTGAACAAGCGCAAGACTTCTTGATAGCTATTAGTGAACCGATCAGCAGGTATATTTTTCACGCGTTTTCATTATTTTCTGATGTGTCTTTATCAATTTGGTCAATTTTTTGTAAAATTAAAATAGGCCAGCTCATATCCACGAATACAAACTCACTCCATATTCTTTGTATGCTGCTGTATCAGTTGGTTTAGAAACTGAAGACATAATTGAAGTATTAAATCGATTGTCAAAGGTATTTTTTTTATCTTAGATTATAATTTGAAATTACCAATGCATGAATAAGTACATCTACCCATAAACTATTTATACATAGATACACATTCCCGAATCGATCATAAATCTGATACGACAATGCACTATCTCCTATGGTAAAGTGAAGCTTGTGCTAAAACACAATCGTTACTTTGTTGAATCATCATATCCGGATACATTACAAAAATTACTACAAGATCCGATAATTGCTGCTGCGCGACTTGTCAACACAGAGGAAGATGAAAAGGCAGGAATTTTCAAAGAAAAGGCACCTTCTATGAATGGCTTGGTCATTGTACCTCCGCAGAAACCTCCAGAAAAACCGATCGAAGGAAAACCTGAAACAAACATTGAAGAAGCTTCCAAAGACGCGAAAAAAGATGAGGTAGATCTATTTCACACAGTTGTAGATCTGGAAAAAGGTATGCGCGTTTTTTGTCGTCTAGTTATTTGTTGTATTAATATTTTTCGGGTTTCTTGCAGAGGATGAAGAAGACGATGATGGTGACGAAGTTCATGCCTTTGAAATAAAATCGGATCAATTTGAAGTACATTTATTTATTAAAAATTAATGTTTTTCCTGGTAAATAATTTTATTGAATAATTTTTTATTTAATAGAATGTCAAGAAACGGTGCAATGAACTTGATTACCCGATGATGGAAGAATATGACTTCCGAAACGATAATAATTTAGCACCACTTGATATTGATCTTAAACCTATCACTGTTATTAGACCTTATCAAGAGAAATGTCTGAGCAAGATGTTTGGCAACGGGTTAGTAATTAATTAATTCATACAACATATATATGCATTACGAAAATATCATTGTTATATATTTAGCCGTGCGAGATCAGGCATTATTGTATTGCCTTGTGGTGCAGGCAAGACACTTGTGGGTATTACCGCCGCGTGTACAATCAAAAAAAGTACACTTGTTCTGTGCACTTCTGGGTATGTATTGTTAAATAATCTAAAAAATAAATTCATACCTATCTTAAAAGTTCACGTGTTTTTTAGCGTTTCTGTAATGCAATGGAAACAACAATTTCTACAGTGGTCTAATATTCGTGATTCTCAAATAGCGGTTTTCACTTCTGAACAAAAAGAAAAGGTATATAATTAAATTTATTTTTCATGCGTAATGAATAATATATTAATTTTTCATATTAGTTCTCAGGGCAATCCGGAATTGTAATCTCAACATATAGTATGGTTGCCAACACACGCAACCGGTCACATGAAGCTCAAAAAATGATGGACTTTATCAGGGGGCGTGAATGGGGATTTATTCTGTTAGACGAAGTACATGTCGTACCAGCAAATATGTTCCGACGCGTAGTGACAACCATAGCGGCGCATACAAAATTAGGTTTGACGGCTACTTTAGTCCGAGAGGACGATAAGATTAGCGATCTAAATTTCTTAATCGGACCAAAGTTGTACGAAGCGAATTGGTTGGACCTTGCGTCAAAAGGACATATTGCTAATGTACAATGCGCAGAAGTTTGGTGTCCGATGACTCCAGAGTTCTATGGCGAATATCTTCGAGTTAATTCGAGAAAAAGAATGCTGTTGTATGTGATGAACCCCAAAAAGTTTCAGGCGTGTCAGTATCTAATACAGTTTCATGAGGATCGCGGAGATAAGATTATTGTATTCAGTGATAATGTCTTTGCTTTGCAGGTATTTATTTGCTGGTTTTTCATCTTTGCTCTTTTTTATTAGAAAGTGAAATTAAATAATTTCGATTCGTATTTAGGCATACGCAATCAAACTTGGTGTCCCTTATATATATGGAAAAACACAACCTCAAGAACGGATAAGAATCTTGCAAAATTTCCAATATAATCCAAAGTGCAATACGATATTTTTGTCGAAAGCAAGTTTTTTTTTATTTTTTATGTACTAAAAATATAAAATATAATAATATTTTTTCTAATAAATTTATTAACAGGTAGGTGACACATCTATCGACTTGCCCGAAGCCACTTGCTTAATCCAAATCTCATCCCATTACGGATCCCGCCGACAAGAAGCTCAACGCTTAGGTGATATTAATTTCTCTAAACTTTATTTACAAGCTCAAATTTATTGTTTAAATTGATCAATAAATTATATAGGACGTATTCTTCGTGCAAAACGAAGAAATGACGAAGGGTTCAATGCATTCTTCTACTCACTAGTATCGCAAGACACGCAAGAAATGTTCTACTCAACAAAACGACAACAATTTCTCATCGACCAAGGTTATGCTTTCAAAGTAATTACTAAACTAGACGGAATGGAAAATGCTTCAAATCTCGTATACCAAACGAAAGAGGAGCAAGTAAGACTATTAAATGAAGTACTGGAGGCTAATGAGAATGCCGCCGATATCGATAATGATGTGGAAGCCAACGTCGATGACTTGCCCGGCACTATAACAAGTGCCAATTTCGCAAGAACTCCTGGATACACACGAAGCACCGCCAGTCTAAAGAGTTTGAGTGGTGCTGATGGTATGTCATATTTGGAAAGCGACGGGCAAACAGTCAGGAGGGCACTTGGTGTTGGTGGCGGATCTTTAGAACATTTGAGAGTCAATAACAAAAGTAAAGGGAAAAAGAGGCAAGCAGAAGAAAAAGTTCAACATAATCCGTTCTTTAAGAAGTATCGAAAAAAGTAATGATATTTCAAAACACATTATTTATTTGTGATTTATAATTATAGTAAAATTTGCTAGGCTTTCAAATGATTGTAATGATAATAACCTTCCGTCATTGAAAAATGATGATTATCTAAATAAACAATAAATAATAGAAATTTTGGTTCAAAAATATGAAGCAAATTTTTCCATTAGTAGAATATATATCAAAATAATTGCAGCTTTTTTTCAAATATTACTTATAATTTGTCTTAACAAATAAAAATCTAAATAAGCACAATAGCTATAAGCGAAAGTAATAAAACACATTTTATTCAAGAGAAGTGTTAATTATTATATCTTGAAAAATACTTTCATTTAAATAATCAAAAACTATACTTATCTGCAGCCAAAAGAAAATGGTTTTGGTTTTTAATATCGCTTTTTTATTATATAATAGCAAAGAGGGGAGACAAATATTTAATCCTACAAAAAAATATACAAAATTGAGGATAATATCAAATAATACAAAAATAAAGTATATATAATACATGAAATATAAATTACAAAAACGAAATAGAAACAAAAATTATCCGGATAAATAGGACTCTATATTCACACTCTCGGGACATAAAAGTGTGATTATAAAGGACTGAATATAAAGATTATAAGACGGGAGTGATTATATAGAGCGGTTGCAATTCTATAGGGTGTAATTCAACTATAATATATATATATAGATAAAATACCATATAATTTTAACGATCAAGGTAATATTAATGACTCATCCCAAATTTAGTTAATTCAATTCCACGGTATTGCTTTCCGTAGTTCATCTATTGATCTCGGTGATCCAGGTTCTTCGCCGTTCGGAGTTCCTGGTGGACTACTACTGGTCACCATCCCTGAAACCATTAATCCACTAATCTCTACACCAGCTCCAACTCCACGTATGCTGCCAGCATTAGACGCCGATGCTATATTTCTCATTCGTCGAATTGACGGATATTTTGGTGGGCTTGTTGAATTTATGAATGAGGCGGATGTGCTATTTATAGAAGTGCTATTTGATGAAAGTTCTGTTGATCCACTGGTGACAGATGAAGTCCTTGAGGATGATGCAGCAGTTCCGACACTAGGAATATGATTATGACCCTTGGTACTAATACTACTGTGATCAGCTACATCCCTAATACGATTACGTGGTTCCTCAAACCCTTCAAACAGCAATTCAAAATGTTCAATCGCAAGTTTCATAAATATTCCAACACCTCCTCCTGAATCACTGTCCGTACTCAACACGCACATGCTAACATCCAACAACGGATTCCCGCTATGTACCAAATTCGGTGCCATCATCACCGCAAGATTATACGCGGTCATGCGATTCACTTTCTCGCGTTTCGAAATGTCGTATAGTAAGGAGCAGACGTAGTGCAATAGAATTACGACCGGCGGTAGTAGTAAGGGAAAAATGGTTTCACGAATGAATTCTATTCTTTCCAGATGTCCGTTTTTCAGGCGTATTTGTCGTAGTGTTTCGTATATTTCGGCGGGGAATACGGAAACTGGGAGTTGCGCGAAAAACATTTTTAGTAAGACAGCGGAGACGTGGACCCCATAATCGGCAAGATTAATTGGATTTCCTGTTTATGATTAATTACAAGAACAAATAAATAAAAGGTTCGATATTTTGAAAGTAAAAAAAAATCATTATATAATATATTACCAATTGATTATTCAATGATAAATACCTCGATCATATGCTTCTCTTGCCTGTCGTAATAGAATAGAACTAGGCGAACGCCTAAAAATACCGTCAGTTTCCAGTCCTATCAAAAAAAAAAAAAAAACGAAATCAGAAAAAACCATCGCTCGAAATGATTTGTAAAGATAAAAAACTGTCGAAACAAACCTTCTGCTCTCAAATAATTCACACAATCCTTTATCACCCTAGGTAATCCTTTTTCCCCCTCCGAACCCATTAACACCTCAATCGGGACGCCAAACATTAATGATCCGTTTTCATATGTGGTCGGCTGAAGTGTTATTTTTTCTTCAAATTTTAAGTTATATCTGGCGATTGAAAAGAAACGGTTTTTTATATATTAGATTCATCAATTAAAATAAATACAAATAACAATAAAACATACGTATAGACAAGCGGTGGAATTTCAATTTGTGTTATTGGAACATATAACGCCAGTTTTGATAGCGTTGGAATATAATTTACTTTTCGACCAAATTTTGGGCTATCATAAATTAATTAATTAATTAATTAATTTATTTGAACAAGAAACCCAATCACATGATAAAGGATAGATAATCGTAGAAAAATAACATGCAAAACTCACCTTATCACGACATTCATTACATCAAGTATAACGCGAGCCCAAGTAGTCGAATGTACTATATACAAATTTTTTAAATTTTTCTTGTATCTTAAATTATTAAGGAAAATCGCAATTAATTAATAAAAAATTAAAAATAAAAAAATTAGCAAAATTCTGTGCGTGTGCTCACTTTCTACTAAGACTTTTGTATGCGCGAAACATCCAATGCCAGCCTGGACGATGTTGTGCTCCGCCAGCGAAAAGCACAACAGTATAATCGCTTTCTACAAATAAATCGAGCTTACGTAGAATTCGACTAACAAAATAATAGATTTAATACAAAGAATAACATCTCCAAGATTCGCAATAACAAAGAAATAAACTCACTTTAAAATTTTGTCATAGTTTACTTCATTAGGATCAGGTAGATTACAAGCACACACAACCACCAACGGTTTACTCTCGAAATCGACACCTTTTCAAAAAAATTGCAGATTTATCAAATATAAATCAGAAAACAAATAATATAAAAAACACACATATTAATTTAAAAAGGCCCCTCCCCACGTGTACATATCATCCATCATCAAGATAATATTGCCGAACGCTTCCTCCAAACCCTTATTTACCAGCCTGATATATTATCTTCGTATCAACATAATCGGCCAATGCCTCGTCTTCAGACATTACAGAGTTTTGGCGATGGTGGCGGTGTTGAAAAAATGCCCGCCCAGTCTCATTTTCGTTATCTGAAATATGAAACATTCGTTTCCACATTATGATGAATGTAGTAATAACAATAATTACAACGATACTAGTAATGGCACTAATTTTTACAGTAGATTATAATAACGATTTTTTTGAATGCAAGACACTCGAAAAATCAATAATGAAATTACGGAAATTATAAAAATAGCTTTAAAGAAGCGAGAAATTTGTGGTCTTTTTTTGCAAGTAAAAGTTGGTCTTAGTTATTTTCGTCGTCAAATAAAACGAAATAAGGGACTAAAGCGAAAAAGAGTGCAATTTTTCCGTGTAGCTATAATATATACACACTGTATTCTTTATTGTTCTTAAATGATTATCGTTATAATACATTCAAGTAAATTGACGCTAACTTGTTATGCATTGACCAATTCTGATGGACACAATTTCTTACTTTTCCATTATGCATATGACAATAATGCATATAATACATACAGTTGCATATAAACAAACTTTCAAGATTATCCTCTTTTGTATGACAAAAGTTTTACCCAACGATAAGAATTGTACCAAGAATCTATCGCTCTAATTGTTATGACATAACGATAATGATAATAATATAAATATCTTCACTCGCTCCACTATTTCTAATTGAAATGTCTATTCAGTAAAGTAAATCTTTTTTGAATGGTATATATACATCGGAAACGGATCGGAAAGGGTTATGGTTTCAGAATATACAAATCGCTGAATTTGGTTACTGAACTTTACTGAATGACATATGATTCAAGTCCGCTGCTCCTCTAATCATTGTCTCGTCATCATTTTGTTGCGCCAAGAATTGATAAATGGAATGAATGGTCTTATCCAAAAAACGTCTCGGTTATCTGCTATGTTTAAGTTCTGATAACGGTAAAAATTCGTCGCTTACGTCGATCACTTCGATGAAATTCAATAATCAGTTATTGTGTTATTTAACGCTTGTATGTAAATCTATTATTACTGATTATAAGCGCAACCGTAAAAAGGTAATATGCTTTAATAAATGTATCGATTTTCATTATCCGTTATTCTTAGCATTGACATACATGAAAATTCTTGCTAATTGGTCTACTATCCTAAAGAGTCCGTTAACATGAACGGCATCTACAGCTTCTTATCATTTGTTGCTTTTTCTTGAATAAACTCACCACTATTTTTTAAGAAAGATAATAACAAATCTGAATTTGGTAAATAAAAATTATTATTACTTACCCCCCTCCCTTAATAACAATTCATTTATTTAAAACGCAAAGAAAACAATGATTCAATATATTTAATAATTTTCCACAAGCAGCTGAATCTTTCAGGGCGAGGTGCTTGCTGCGGTTCTTGGAAGACTTCTGGTGGTATTTGAAACTGGCGCACGGCGTTTACTTCCTGGATAAATGTTGCCTCCTGTGCATCGTCTAGGTCTAATGCTATAAATGCCCCTTCACGGCGAAGTGGATGTCCCCCAGGTTGGTCTACATCCTCTCGTTGCGAAACAGGTACAATTCGATTAGCTACCTCTTCATGGTTTTCTGCTGCTTCACCATTGTTGCGATGAATGTCTAGGCTTGTATTTCCAGGGGGTAAAGTAAATCCCAACTTCCCAATTAATTTTTTTTTCTCGTTTTCCTTAATGAAGAGTTCGGGTTCAATGAATTGAACAATAGGGTTGAAGCGCACGCGGTTAGGCATAGTGTAAAATGTGAATTTATGGTGTTTGTTGCACGTTGTGACGTAACGCGTTTTTATGTAAATTTACATATTATTGATTCTTAAGCTGCGCCTTATTTTACAAAGATTTCAATTGAGTCAATGAATCCTTTGAGCTACATTCAAATATACTGATACAATCTAATCTAAAACTTCAGTATGATATAAATCTAATACCTTGATTCTTGAAAAATCAAGAGAATAAATAAACTATATGTTATTGAGCTGATAAATCTTACGATCTTAAATTCTCTTCCTTCTACCCATTCCGAATCGTTGCCGCATCTTCTTCGTTAATGGTGGCGCATGGAAGATCATCTTGTGGTGGTGGTAGTTGTTCTAATAATTCTGTTGTTTCATGTTGAGCATAATTATTATTCTCCGCGTTGAAATTTTGTTGCTGCTGTTGTTGGTCTTGCATATCGAGAATACCTTGAGTTACTGTCTCGATAGGTTCTTTATGGTCATTTTTTTCTTCTTGACTATCTGAAGCTTGGTCGAGAACCTGAATCTTTTCATCTTTATGTTCGCATATAAAAAGAGCTGCGGCGGTATTCTCCACGCTATCAGATGTTATTGACAAATCATATGTGTTTGACAATTGAGGTTCCAAGAGAACATCATTTTGTTGCGTATCTTTAGTAGAATTCATCAGGTCCCCAATAATTATCAAGTCTTCTAACTCTTCTTGTTGCTGTACATTACTTATAATTTCTTGTTCGATGATCTTTGTAGAGAGCAATGTCTGATCCGCAGTTTCCTTCGGTTCCAAGCTGACTTGATGCTGCGGGAGTTCAGACAGTTTGGACTCGTCAAGTTGGTCGATAGAGATTTGATCTTCCTCCTTCGTTTTCATTTCGACTTCGGTAGATTCCAAGGTTTCTTTCTCAGCCTTGAGGATCTCATTGCCAAGAACTTGTGCTTTATCCTCTTGAACATTATCCAATACATCTTTGCTAGACGTGTCACCATACCCTTGCATAAGTAAGGCGCTTAGTTGTCCTTTATCCTTCGTCTCTACTATATTAAGTTTATTATTATTTTGCGAAAGTAAAGGCTGATCTAGCAGCGCCTTACTTATTTTCTTCACTTTTTTGCCTATTTGTGCTTGTTTTACACCACCGCCAATGCCAATAACGCCGCCTTTATATACACAACAATAATGATCGAGTTCTTCTACGTCGCTTCCCATCTTCTCCAATACTTTTTTAAAAGTATCGGGGTTTCGTTGACGAAAGTGATCACTGAAAGTGAATAAGTTAAACAGGTTTTTTTAATCATTAATTTGAATTGAATTTCACTACTCACATTGCCATTTCTGCGACAGTTTCTCGAACAATTTCACGAATTTCATTATGTGCACCAAAAGTTTTCTTGAAAACCGGTACTCTGAGTAATGCCGAATAGCAATTGAACTTGTTTTTGACGATTGGAGAGTATAGCTTACATTCAATTTCAAGACTTTTTTCAATAGATTATATCTTGTCATTATTAGTAAATAACGGTATGGTGGATTCACTTGTAAAAGATTATTATAATACATACGCATCACAAATCTTGAAAATTAAATTAACAAGATATGGCTCTTCTTGTTGAGCTTCTTCAGCTTTAACCCGCTGTTCAAGACTTGTTTTTTTATTTAATTTAAATTTTTGCGTCTTTCTCTTTTTTCTTCGTAGAAAATTAGGAAGAGGATAATTATCAGCGTCAGGAGCCGAACCAACAAATTCTGTAGAATCTTTGTTGTTGTTAAACAGTGACTCCTTATCATTCGCAAGATAACCATTGCCGTTATTGTACGACGGCTCTTGATTATAGTCATTTGATGGATAAAAGTAACTATAATCATCTGAATAACGATTCTGTGGATGTGCTCGAAAACGGTGTGATTGCATGAAAAGTTTTTGCTGCCAGGTTCGACGTTCTTTATGTCCAGGCAAAATTGATTCTTTTTGAAGGGGGGTTTCGAGGGCGGCTGGACTATAATTTTCGATTTCTTTTGGATTGTCTTCAATGTAGAATGGTTTGGTAATCTCAGAATCTTGAGGTTCCTAATATTTATATATGTATTTATGTATATTTAGAATAAAGAGTAACTAAAAAGAATACCAAAGTTTTCTACCAACTTTTTTGGCATCAATCGCCATATTTCCTAAATCACTGATTAATGACTCTCTTCTTTCATCGAATATACTATTTCCATTCACAGATTCTGTTTGATCAACCGGATTGACCGGGTTCATTGATTCATTTTCTTCACCTAACAGATCCTCGTCTTCTTTAAGGGGAGATTCACGGCCAAGAGTAATAGTTTCTTGATCTGAAGCATCGGCTTTTGTCTCATCGCTTTTTGACAGATCAATACTATTTTCTGATTCGAACCTATTCGCGGACTCCGATAAAGCCTTTGAATATGTTCAAAATTATAAAAACAAAAAAGATAATAACAATAGTAATAATATATACGTTGAAAAACTGATTTACCCCTTTGATTGAATGATTTTTAGAGGATAATCCATTTCTTGGTAAACCCCAGTTAGTTGACAAATTTGATCTGTGTTGTCTACCATTTTTTTCACGTTTGCTTTCTAAATGAGGAGGTGAATCTTCCCAAACTTGTTGTTCATCTCGTTCTCGGTGAATGGTCGCTTTGTCAATCGATGGCGATTCTTCGCTCTTGTTTAAAGTATCAATTTTTGAAGGAGTTGAATCCTGTTCTTGTAGCCTTCGCGTTTCATAATGATCGACCCGAGTTGTTAATGGGTGACGTGAACCTCGAGACGGGGTAACAGATTTACTTCTTTCTAAATAATTGCTTGCCTGCGAAGAGGAAGCATTGTTTTGGTATGAATTTGTCACTGATGGATACATATTCGGCTGCGGTCGTTGCGAATAATTTCCAAAAGTGCGATTACTGAGACTATTTTGCCATTGTATTTCGCTGTAGGAAAGTCGTCTAGCACTGGGGGAAGACCATTGTGATGGGGACTTTTGACCGTTGAAATTATTATTATTAGATCTTGATATTGATGATGGCGGGAACCTTTGTCTTCCATTGTCATTCCGTTTATTAAAAGAGCCAGAATATGAATTAAAAGATGAATATGAAGGTGTAATTGCTGCTGGGTTGAAGTTTTTGTAGTTTGATCCCAAGAATGGAGGTAAACTCGACCGACGATTTGTCCGTTGTTGTGGCCTCCTGTTGTTGTCATTTTCGTCATTATTATTAATTAAGGATTTTGATGATTTCTGTTTTCTACTATTGGAAATTGACAACTGACTTTGTCTTGCTCGAGAGTTTGATGGAGATGATAATAATGATTGATTAAAACGTGAATTATAGGAAGATGAATCTTGTTGTTGATTTAGTAAAAAATATGGTCCAACGCTGGATCGACGATGAGTTGACCAATTTGGTAATTGTTGGGTAGTGGAGGTGGAGGTGGAGGAACCAATGATGCTTTCTTGTGATCCAATCAAATGATGATGTTGACCACTTGACAATCTACGAGAATATCCAGTGGATTGTTGCTGTGGCATAGCAGAACCATTAGTTGTTGTTGTGGAACAAGTATTGAAAGAATTGGGAGATTCTCGAGAATCTGATTTCGCCGATTTAGAATTAATCATCTTTGTAAAGAAAAAAAATTTCTATCAAGAAATAATAAAAAAACAGAATTTGAGATTAGAAAGATTCATTGAACAGTAAAGTATATTTAAATCGAGGAAAGGAATTCGAATATTACCTATCAATTCTTTAACCTATTAATAATTACATTCACGGAGAAAATCAAAAGGTTAATTATTGATTAATTTTTTTAGTATTCTGCGAAATGATAGAACAAATGTTATTGTAATTTTTTTCATTTTTCCGGCGTCTTATGACGATTGTAGCTTTTCTTTATTATTTTTTCGCGTAGCGGTAATTTTCATTCAAATTAATGATAATCCTGGTTCTCAAAAGATCGACGATAGAGTTCGTTACACGAAACAAGACGCGCGTTGAAAATGTAAGGTTAGCACGAACTTACTTGTTCTTTTCTTCAGCAACGAAGAGTGGATTTATGTCTGTCTGTCTGTCTGTTTTTCTTTCATAAAAATCATCGAATATAGTCAATTCGATCCATCCTAGTCTAACTACTTAAGTATTATGCATCATAGCATGATAAGTTTTTTTTAAAATGATACATCTTTGATCAACACGTAAGTACGTAGTATGAATCATAATTTGAATTTCCGACTTAATTTCGAAATGAGCATATATTTTTTCACTTTCCCATAATTGAGATGGGTTAAAGCGTTGTACCCACGTGATCAATCACCGGTCAATGCTTTATAAGATCAGGATAAGGGTTAGGGTTAGGATTGGATTAAAGGTTATATGTAAAATTGTCTTCCCGACATTTTTAATTAATCTTTCAAGCCAGGTTTACCCATCCGTTTTCCGTATTTTTCACATTATTCGCCTTTTTGATTTTCTTGTGCCGGATTTGTTTTGCCGGGTTGATCTCCAAGGGATTATCGTTATACATGATAACAAAAAAATTATACATCGATATGGCATCAAAAACTTTATCATTTGTTCGTGAAGTTTGGCAATCTTACAAAAGCGATGGATTTTCTATGCTTACCTTAAATAAAGTAATAATAAATAAAAAGTAATAGTAAGTATGAATATTTGACTTTTGACTAAATTAAATATAATAATCAATCCATCTAGTTGAATGTAACAAGCGCCACAGAAAGTAAAGTGTCACTAGAATTACAAGTACAAAAAGAGCATCTTGTAAGTATTCAAGTTGATGGATTATGGAAAAGTGCAATGTCTATTGATTAATCTATACATAATATATGAATTAAGAATAAGGCAACAGGTTTACATGGTGGACTGATTGCCACGTTAATAGACATTGGAGGGTCGTTAGCGATAGCGTCTAAAGGTATTTACAACACAGGTGTGAGCACAGATATCAACGTTAGTTTTATAAATGCGGCAAAATTGAATGATGTTTTGACGATTGTAAGTCTTTGTTTTTATTATTTTTACTTGTTTTATTAATTATATTAATCTCTTGGTTTGTTGACTTGATAAAGGAAGGAAAATGCGAAAAATTAGGAAAGAATCTCGCGTTCACATCAGTCGATATACATAATAAAGAAACCGGTAAGATAATTGCACAAGGTCGACATACTAAATACATTGCGGCCGCACATTTAGACCCAAAAAATATAGCAAACTTGAAATTATGAAGAAAAAAATATTTTTATCATTTTCGAATATGCTCATGTAGAGTTTGGATTAATATTCATCTAAATTCTCTTATCATTATTTAAATTATTTTTATAAATTTTTGGCACGTGATTGAAAAGGATTAACAGTACTACTTGAGCATACAAAGATTCCTTGTATTATATTTTTAGATCTCTGAATTAGTGTGCATGCTCTTTACTTTATTTACTGAACATCTATGGTATCTATGGTGTTATTCACACAATAAATCTTCGGCGATTGTGCCATAAATAAATTTTGTAAAACCGATAAATAAGTATTTTCTTTGGAGTTTTGTCGCGTTTCGCGTTATTGTGAAAAGAAAGACTATTATTATTGTATAGAATTCTAGAGAGCAAAAGAGAAATAAAACAAACAAATATAATAAAATCTAGATAGAATGACTACACCATACAGTTCTTTAATAATTGGCTGGCGCCTACACGGTCGTCACGTTTTAATAGTTGGCGGAAACCAAGTCGCTGCCAATCGTCTAGACTTTGCGTTATCCGCAAATCCCGCAAAAATAACTTTCGTCTACCCAAAACAAAAAATAACTTGCCCAAAGCTTTTAGAATATATCGAGAAAAGTGGCGGCGGTGATATATTAACATTTATTGATAAAGAATTTGACATTAAAAATCTAGACAGCGATCCGGTAGTGGATTTAGTGCTGACCGCGACGAATAATGCACAATTATCTCAGAAAATCGTTGCAGCAGCGAGAGAACGACGTATTCCAGTGAACGTGGCAGAAATTCCACAACTGTGTGATTTCTTGTTTATGCCCACGTATCGTGACAATTATTTGCAGGTTGCTATTTCTACGAATAATAAATTTGTAGCAAAAAACATTGATAAGAAAAAAATTGAGCTTGCGTTGATGACACGAAAAATAAGAGAACATATTTTGGAACATATACCGCAACATAAAGACATTATCGCTGCATCGGATAATCTCGCGTTATTAAGGAAGAATTTGGATGAAAATGGTTGCAATTTGTCATTACTATCAAAGATTATCGATACATTACCATTAGGACAACTTGCTCAATTATCTGCGGAAGATATTGCGGCATTAGCAAACGAAAATCTTAATTCATTATTGAATGAAGGAAATTTTATGGATATTGATGAATCATCTTCAACTTCAAGTAACGACGAAAAAAAATCCGACGTCACGTTTGTAGAGCAGGCGAATGATTCTCAAACTAATCTCAATAATAATGGTGATGATACCGAAGAGTATAAATCATTGATAAAATCGAATGACAATGAAAGATTAAGCGAGGATCAACTTGTTGACGGAAAAAATATCTCGGTTGATGTCGAAACTCAATCGTGGATTAAATCAAAAATCAATGATAAATTTTTGATCGGAAGATTAGGTGGAGATCAACTTGTAGATGGAAAAACAGCATTAGCGTATGTTGCTTATGCATTAAGTACGAATACATTCATTTACCCAACTACAAGATCAGCATATATTGGAAAAGTGACCGAACATTGGTCTGCGAATAATGTTCGAAACGCATTTGGAAAGGTGGGACAAGTTGAGAAAATGGATACTCGTATTGGTGCTGCCACGACAATTATTGGGGCTGCAATCATGATGGCAGCATCATCTTCATCATTATCTAAAAAAAAGGACTTCAATTTATCCTCGTATTGGCATTTTTCCGCATTTGCCACTTCACAAACAATTGTAAATATGATTCCGAATCTGTACATAATTGCCGTTCAACATATTCCTCTAGTTATACACGTTGCAGCACAAGGACAAGATCATGAAATGAATAATATAGTTAATTATCATGATGCATTACAAGCACGTGATACAGGGGTAGCTATAATTAATTCATTCTCGGTACAAGAGGCACATGATGTAGCATTACTTGCACATTTATCTTCTGCTTTAACGGAATCTCCTTTCTTACATATTTTCGATGGGATAAAAACAACCCATGAATTAACAAAAGCCGATCTTCTCTCTTATGATGATATCGCGAAATTATGGATCGAAATTAAGACGGAGATAAATACTCGTAAAAATCATAGTTGTAATTCTCATTATTCGATTATTGACGGGATTGAAACAGTAGCAATCAAGGTCGGGCGAAAATTAGGGAGACATTATCGATTATTTGAATATATTGGGGCACATGATGCAGAGTCTGTCTTGGTGGTGTTGGGAGATGAGGTTGTTAGTGTACAAGAGACTATCAATCGACTCTCACAATATGGTGGAAAAGTTGGTGCTATTGTTGTTCGAGTATATAGACCATGGTCAGTTAGACATTTCATAAACACACTGCCAAAAACGACCAAACGTATTGCTGTATTCGAGCAAGTGGTAAATACAAAAAAGGGTTCTGTCCGAAATAATTCAACATTATTTGCCGACATTTCGGCATCTTTCCAATCGGAAATTTGGGCTATTAAAAAGACACCAATTCCGACGATAGTTGATGTGAAATACCCAATCACCCAAACTTTGAATGCACGAAAAATAAAACTTGCTCTTCATCAATTAGTCTCTGGAATGAATATAAACCTAAATGCTGATCTATTATCAGCGATTGATATTCCGCCCCCTTCACATAATTTGAAACAATGCATATTTTGGGACTCGGAATCTCTTGGAACTGTGCACACAACTGCGCATATAGCAAACATTTTCACAAATATGCCTCAACTTAATTTCTCGAGTCTATCAACTTATGACGTGTGCAATAATGGGGGAGTTGTGGCTACACGTTTAAGATTTGGTCCTGATCGTATTTGTGGGGTGTATGATGGCGAATGTGGTGCTGATTATATAGGAATACACGACGCTAATCTCATCTCGAAATACGATATTTTACTTGCGGCCAAAGAACGTACTGTGGTATTATTGAATACTGAATGGGATATTGATGAATTGATAATGAAGTTATCAAATGATTTCAAATATGAAGCCGCAAAACGAAACATTCAATTGTTCACGATTGATGCCCAGAAGATTGTCCGCGATACGAGATTATCAACATCTTCATCGACCGAGGCTATTAGTATTGTACTCCAAGCAGCATTTTTAAGATTATATAATCATGCACACTTAGATGAATCATTTCAGGAAGTAGTGGCTGATTATTATGAAGGTGTAAGCGAGAAGGAAGTAACGCGTATAGTCCATGACATCGTAGAAAAAACAGAGAATGGTTTAGTTCGAATTGACATTCCGTCATTATCTATGATATGGTCTCAACTTGAAAAATCCAATCAAAATATGCCATGTAGCGTAAATAATAATTCATTCAGCCCAAATCTCGACAAACTAAGCATACAAAGAACAAAATTGGATAACTGGCGTAGAATTGCCCTCAATCTGTTATTTAAGGAAGCTTACGGACGAAAACAAAAAACTCGACCTGATCTTTCTGAAAAGACTTTTATTGTTAATGTTTCAGAAAATCGTAGATTAACCCCATTGACTTATGATCGTAATTTATTCCATATTGAATTTGACATCAATGAAAACGACAAATTCACCTATAATATCGGAGAAGCACTCGGAGTCTATGGACATAATGACCCGGACGAAGTTAATCAATTTTTGCAATATTACGGACTTGAACCGAATGATGTGATATTGGTGCCAAATAAGGAAGGTAATCAGTACGAGGCAAGAACTATTCTACAATTATTCACTCAAGTCCTAGATATTTTTGGTCGACCACCGAAAAGATTCTATGAATCACTAGCAAAATACGCCAAAAACGAGACGGAAAAGAATAAATTATTATGGATTGCAAGTCAAGATGGATTAGAAGAATTCAAACGACGTGTCAACGACACAATTACTTTTGCTGACATATTTTACGAATTTCAATCAGTTCGACCATCCGCGGAAGATTTAGTGAATCTGATTACACCGATCAAACCACGACACTATTCAATAGCATCATCAAACAACGTACATCCGAACCAGGTACACTTATTAATAGTAACAGCTGAATGGATAAATTCTACCGGTAAAAAACGATATGGACAATGTACAAGATACTTATCCAAATTAAAAGTCGGTGAGAAAGTTACCGTTTCAATTAAATCGTCAGTGATGAAACTTCCTCCGATTGATTCACAACCCATTATATTAGCTGGACTTGGTACAGGAATGGCACCATTCCGTGCCTTTATCGAAGAACGTGCATATCAAAAATCAAAAGGAATAAAGGTCGGCCCAATAATCTTATACTTTGGTTCACGAAACCGAGCAATGGAATATTTATATGGCGAAGAACTGGAAGCATATCACGCCGAAGGTGTACTCACACGTCTTCGTTTGGCATTTTCGCGTGATCAACCCAAAAAAGTTTATATACAGCATAAGATGCAAGAAGACTCACAATTGTTGTATGAATACTTGTTGAAACAGAAAGGATGGTTTTATCTTTGTGGACCCACTTGGCCTGTGCCGGATGTTCGGGATGCAATCACTAATAGTTTTGTGAAGGCTGGTCGGTTGTCTAAACGGGAAGCTAATGATTGGGTGAATAGGTTGAAGGATTTGGAACGTTATATTTTGGAAGTGTATTGATCATAATATATTTATTGAAAGTTTCAGGGTGTTTTATTTAAATTTATCCAAAAAATCAATCATTTTTTTCAGAGCATTAAATGTTGCATTTTTATTAATATTAAATATACATCATATCTCCCGTTATCTACAATATTTATGCGTGTATAATTGACTCGCACAAGTATGATATTGTCCAACAATCTATATCTTAGTAGTTATTGTCCTCGTTAAAATAGAAAATACTTATAAGATGAATTACATCTAATCCCATTCGAAGTTCCAATCTTCACGAGTGATATATCTTTCTTGTTTCGTTTTGCTCAACTCATTTATCTCTTGGAAATCGTCGTCGGGAAGCACAAAATCTTGAAAAACTTTTTCCACAATTTTAACTGATGTTCCTTCCGTGATAACTGAGGTGCCACGTTGTACAGCCCATGAGGCGAGAATTTGCTGTTTGGTTTTTCCGTTTTTATCTGCGATTTTCCTGATGACCTCATCGGTTCTTAATGGTGAACTAGCAACACCAAAAGGTAAATATGCAGTTACATGAATGTTTTTTGATTTACAGAATTCCAAGAGATCGTTCTATTTTTTAAAATAAAATTACTGAATTGCTTATACACATAGAACAGATATACTTTAAGAAAAAAACATACTTGAGGAAGATATGGATGCATTTCAACTTGATTTACAGCCGGTGGAATTTTCGCCTTTTCCAACAACTTTTCTAATCGTTTTATTCCAAAATTTGCAACACCAATAGCCTTGACTTTCCCAGACTCTACCAACGGTTCCATTGCGAGATAAGTCTCTACGAAATCAATAGAATCATCTATTTCAACCGGATTTCTGTATTTTGGAGGTTTCTTGTCCGGGTTCTCTTTGGCTTCCGAAGATTTCTTGCCCGGGTTCTCTTTGGCTTCCGAAGCTTTCTTGTCCGGGTTCTCTTTGGCTTCTGAAGATTTCTTGTCCGGATTCTCTATGGCTTCCGAAGCCTTTTTTCTTGTATCCTTGAGTGCTATAGGCCAGTGCATCAAGTATCTAAATGTAATTAATTAATGGTTATTATCCTCGTTATTAGCATTTTTGAATGATTATAGGGAATGAACGAATAGCATATATATATACAAATCAAAATATTTCACTCTACTACGCTCCAATGAGCCTTCACAAGATTTCTTTACTAATTCTGGTTGATGTTGATTATTCCATAACTAATATATATATATACGTGTGGGTGTGTGTGTGTATGTGTTATATCATAATGGATTAATAATAGAGAAAGAGAATGAAGCCAAAAGACAATAATATACACACACACACACCTTTTGTGTTAAAAAGATATCTTCGCGTTTAACTTTTGACGCGCGGATTCCTTGTCCCAGAGGCACATCGTTTGTATTCTATTTGATAATTATTTAATTTATAATCGATAATATATTAAAGAATAACAAAAATGTGTATCAAGCACTGCAGAAGAGTATGAAACACAAGATAACTCACAAATTGTGCGGTGTCAACATGACGATATCCAAGTTTTAAAAACTTTTGCACTGTGTATTGCACAGAAGAAGGCGGAATTCTGCGATCTTTTGCTCTTGACACCGGTGGTACTCCCAATCCAACTATTTGTCATTATTAATACAGTTAGAGGTATTATGCTATTTATTTATAATAAATATATATATTCTCTCTTCAAATCTAGTCTCACAACCTCAACCCCTCACTTTTTAATTACACGCAAAAAAAACAAGACATACTAGCAGGAATTAACACGCCCGTATTAAGTTTAAAAGTTCGTGCCAAGGCCATTTTTAAAATTTTCTTCCGATATTGATATCGATATTAAAAAAAACGCGTAAAAAATGAGCAATTTATTCTGGCCAGAATCACGTGTATTAGCTGCTGCCTTACCATCTTTAGAAAAAATTGCTGATCTTATAAATAAAAATATGGACTCGAGAAACGAAACCACGAAATTCGAACCTCTTTTAACCACCACCTCATTAATGACAGAACTAGAACAAACCTCTTTACTTGAAGAAAGTGAAACCTATCGATCTTCAATATCTGGTTCAAGTGGCCAAGAAATACTACTGAATTTACTATCTAACTCTTTAGACACAACATCTCACCGTGAAATTATTGACAATGAGTGGTCAAAGGATTACTTGAACCGGCTGGCATCTCTCTCGCTCGAATCGCTAAAACACGAACCATCATTGATAAAAGAAGAAGAATCAAAAATTCAATCAGAGCTGGCGGAACTTTCATTTCGTGAATACAAGTCATTTATTCAGACAAGTGAATGTAAATCAAATATCCAGAATTCTCTTGAAAATTGCAAAACACATGTATCAAAGTTATCCAGTACGATCCTGATTTTCGAAGAGAATTGTGTGTCTTTTATCGCAGAAACAGAAAAGATCACAAAACAGCGAACAAAAATAAACACAATAATAGAACAGCATGGAAATCTTCTGGATATTCTGGAAATACCGCAACTGATGGACATTTGTGTACGAAAAGAACTCTATTCTGAAGCGATAGATTTGTCGGCACATGTAACGCGTCTAGCAGCACGATATCCGAAAATCCTGATAATACAGAGAATTGAGAATGATGTTAAAGACACAATGCAATTGATGTTGTCAAGGCTGATTGCACTATTAAGCGAGCCAATAAAATTACCCAGTTGTTTGAAAGTTATTGGGTATTTACGAAGAATGGAGGTGTTTGACGAGGCGGAATTGAGACTTGTATTCTTGTTATCAAGAGATTCATATTTACAATTAATGGTTAAAGGAATAGATAATGAAAAACGATATCCAATTCATTATCTAAAGAAATACATAGACATTTTCCGAGAACATTTTTTTGATATAGTGACACAATATCGTTCCATTTTTTCAGATGATGGAATTTCTTCTGCGCTTGGATATTCTACTCCTTCTACTCCGACATCACCATTATCTCCTAGAATACCATTACGCTCTACTGATTCACCATTGTCATCATCGTCGTCATCATCATCATCTGATAGTAACATTTTTTTGGCTAGGTCAACTTTAAGTGCTAATGCAGTACTTTCTGATTACACTGCTCACATTCTTGGACATTTGACCGGCACTTTAGCAGAGTTTATACCTTTGATTTCGGATACTTCTTCTCTTTCCTCAATACTAACTCAGTTGATGTATTGTGGGATGTCGCTTGGACGAGTTGGTGTGGATTTTCGACATTTGGTGACTGAATACTTTGAAGTAGCAGTGTTAAGAATAATCAGAACAATGATCTCGGAAGCAACAAAAAATTTCATAGATCAATTTGAAGATGCTATGAGAAAAGGAGATTATGCAAGCTCATGGATGATTGATGAAAATAAAACATCTTTGCCAAGTTACATGGATTCAATTCCTTTGCGTACAGTGACCTCATTTACCACATCGTCGGCACCCTCTCCTGCCTCCTCTTTTACCCCATTAGTTATCCTAATGGACTATCCGCCGATAGGACATTTAACTAATGGATACCTTAGTGCGTTCAATTCACTTCGCTTACTGGCCCCCGTATCATTATATCATTCACTTGGCTCTCACCTTTCCACCAGTCTTGTGTCAATAGCAGATACATTACGTCGATACGGTGATAAGCTTATTGAAGATCAACATAACACCGTGATTATGCAAGTTTTTTGTGCCACCTTTGCAAAGATTTTCGTGCCATATATTACAAGATGCTATGTGGATGGGGTGTACGGTGGTTTGATGATGCAAGTAAACGGAGATGATAATGAGAGCTTAGTCGAAGATTCTAACGGGATGAATGCTTTCTCTATCGTTGATCAGGCTGAAATTTTGGATACTCTTAAAGACTTTTTGTCTATTGAGCAAAAGCGATGATAGTTCCTGCACCATCACCTTTTGCGTATTATTTATTGGTAAAAGCGAAAAATTACTATATTATAAATCATGAATATTATTATTGCTAAGGGCATTTTTTCACTCTCGAAATACAACAGCTCAGGAAAAACCGGGCAAAAAGATTCGACACAGTTTCAAAACCTTAATTCATATAACTTTTCTCTGTATTTGTAAATCAGGCACGAAAACCCCCCTCTGAAACTTTGATAGTTTCGGGATTGTACTTTTAGAGATTATTATCGTTATTACATAGAATCATAGTATAAAAACATTACATATCTTACAACGATCAATCATCAATTAATAATTCAATTCAATTCAATTCAATTCAACAATACAATCTATATATAAATAAATTAATATTCAGTTGGTATTTCAGCAGCCGGCGGACCATATATCTGTCCACATCTATTTTCGAATGCTTTTACCATCCGTGGACTAACTTGATCAAAGAACATATTAGAGATCTGTGCATGCAATGGCGAAGCAAACTCGAATTCTAGCTGAAAATTGAGGAAACAGTGCGTGGCGGGGTATACATTGTGTGGTCTAAATTGCCAAATGGATATTAAATGCCGAAAAAGTTTGTCTGATGATGCGTGAGCCTAGCGATAGTAATAGAATTTGATGAGTATTTGGAAATAAAGAAATTACTATAATTTTCAGGATAAAGAACGGCACACCTTTACAAATTTTGGACGATGACATGTAACCTCCGAGATATAAGTCTCTTCGAACCCTTGAAACCCGACTCCCAGTTCAGCAGTCATAAAGTCATCGGAACTATCTAACTGCACATGGGAGAGCACGGTTGAATTGGTGCAGTAGGGAACAAAAAGGTGGTAGTCATTAATATTTGCTACTACTTCGTAAAGTTGTGACTGTGAGTATCTATAGCATATGAATAAGCAATCCTTTTTAAGCACGATGAACTTTTGATTCCAAAAATCGATTGCTAGCTTTTACTATTATTATTGTACACCAACCCTATTATTTTTTCACCAGTGTACTGTTTCTGAGAGGATAAAAGATCATTTAGTTTCGGTATTGTAAAGAACAAACAATGATGAACTTTATTGAAATGTGAATGTGCTGCTATTGATGGTGATAATGAATTAATATTATTGAACAACTCTGACCGAAAAGACGTTAGATTTTTGAGCATTCTTGGATATATCCTAAACATCTTTGTAGGTTGATCGTTTTTGCAACAAGAATGAACTCCGCATCTATTTGATTTGGATCGTTGTGAGTACCTTACCAGTTAAAATCTTGTATTATTCCAAAAATTTTTTCTGCGTCATTACAATAAACGTGATTTATCGTTATGGTCTAACGAAAATGCTTTATATACAAATAATGGGAGTTGGGAACTTAGCAGCTCAATGTAAGCTTGGAAGATATTATGAACAGGAAAACGGGCTATTTAAGATGAAATTGGGCATTTGAATGGTATCTCAAATTGATTTTTTTGAAAAATTTATTATAATAAAATTATATAACAATTTTATGATAAATAGAATTAATTATAAGTATATAAATTGATTACTTTAACAAATTTACAATTTGAAATAATTCAATTTTACATGCTCTTTTTTATAAAAAAAATAATTTATTTGTTCATTTTTATATTATATAATATAATACATTTTTGATATTTTAAATTTATTTAATTAATGATCAAAAAATATTTTTTTATACTTATTTTTAACACATTTTGCATAATGTTTATAAAAATTTAGATTTATAATTGAAAAATTTAAGAAATAGTAAATTTTTTTATATTATTAATATAATTTTATATATATTTTAGAATTCTAAAAAAAGTCTGATTTGATTCAAATTTAATTTAGTACAAGATTGAATTTAATTTAAAATCTAATTCAAAAATTCAAATACAGTCAAACCTCTCTATAGTTATCACTCTCAGAAAAGCAAAACTTGGTGACTATAGAGGGAATGTGACTATAGAGAGGTTTTTTATACTATGTTTATATGTAAATGGAAAAGTAAAATAGAGTAACTATAAAGGAGTATGATTATAAATGGATGTGACTATAGAGAGGTTTGACTGTATAATTAAAAATCTAATTTTAAGTGCAATTCAAATTTTGAATCAAACTCAAATATAAATTATTTAATTTTAAATAATATAAACTATTTAATTTTAATAACTTGATAATTAATAATTATATAAAAATTTTTCATATAAATTGATAATTTTATAAGAGAATTTTTGTTTTTAAAAAGTTATAATAATTAAAATTTTTATTAATATAAAATAAAAAATTTTAATTAATTAAATTAATTATCATAATGACAATCAGAAATAATGCAACGATATCAAAATTTATTAATTAAATATAATAAAATACAGATTTTTCTTTTTATATTAAATAATTTATATTATTTAAAATTAAATAATTTATATTATTTAATATTATACAAATTGTAATAAAATAATTAATATTAATAATAAATAAAAAAATTATATAAATATTTTTTAATTATTATAATTTTTGATTCACTTTAATTTAAAAACTACAAATTAATATAATATAATTAATATTAATAATAAATATTCAAAAAGTTATATAATATTTATAATAAATTATATAGAAAGAAATTATATAATAAATAATTATTGCAATTTTATTGATTAATTTTATTTTATTTTATATTATATATAATTTGATATTAGTATAAATAATTTATTATAATTAAAAGAATATGAAATTTAAATTAGTAAAGAAATTCTTTAAACAAGTTCTAATATCTTTTCTTTTCTTCATAATAAATATAATTTTTGATTTAATATTATAAAATAAATTATTTCTTTCTAAACTTTGATAATAAAAAATATCAAAAACTAATTATTTCAATTAAAAAAATTATTAGAGTTAAAAAAAAGAAAAATTTATTTATTACAATTATAAAATCAAATATTAAAAAAACTTTTCAATAAGTTCTAATATATTATATACTAAAACTTTTTTTCTTTTATAATAATCATAATTTCTGATTTAATATTATAAAATAATATACAAGTCTTATTAAACAAATTATTTTTTTTAGAAAAAGTTAAAAAAAGAAAAAACTCATTTATAATCAAATTTTTTTATAATTATCATTTTTAGAAAAGCAAAATTGAATAATTAAAACTTATTTTTGATATAATAAACTCTTAATATAGTAAATTTTTCATTATAATAAAGGATTATTATTAAACTTTGCTTAATATAATAAAGTTATATATTATGTTTTCAATATAAGTCATAGTGAAAATTTTTTCTTGTTCCAATATTTTTATTGTTCTATAATTTGATGTTTTATCATAAAAAATATTTTACTATAAATAAAATAATTAATTCAGAAATATTTTATAATTTTCTAAAAAAAGATTTTAAAGTAATTGATTAATTAACTTTAATATAATATTTTTAAAAATTAAATTTTTAACTAACTTTTAAAATAAATATATTTAAATATTTATTTTCAAAATATCAACTAATTTTTTAAAATAAATTCTTTAATAATTTTTTTTGAATGTATTATATTGTATTATTGATCTATATAATAAAAAAATTCTATTTATGATAAAACACCAGATTGTATAATATTGAACCAGACTCAAACTTATAATAATTCATTCAAATTTCAAATTTTTCTTGAATTCAAGCCAAAGTTTGATTCAGTTTAGTTTATAAAAATACTAGTATATTTGTCTTGTTTAATTTAATAAAATTTAAGGAATTCCAACAATCTTCAATCTTTTTGTAGGAAATACTTGATTATTTTAATTTTAATTACTAGTTCTTTTTCCAATTTTCATTTTTAATCTCTTTTATAACAATTTTTGTTATATTTTTATATCTATCAGAAATATCTTTTTAGATATATTTTTTATCAAATTGATCTTCCGAGAGACACAATTAATCTTTTCTATATTATCAGTTTCAATAATTATAACAAGATTTATTATTGAAATAAGTGTAATTATATAATTATAAAGGGATTTGGTTCAAAGAAAATTTTCATTTTTTAAAGGCATAGCGTGAAAATATGTCACGTAAGCAAATCAGATTGATTTTTATTATAGATCTGCTATTTTGTAATTTCCTTTAGTGATCTAGTCACCGATCGTCATTATGACATGTCATATTATTGAAAATCGGAACGCGTTTCATTGGCTATTATGGTATATAATTAATAGTCCATAACGTAGTTTTTTTCTGTTTTCCCATGATTATTTTGCAGGTTCATTTTCAGGTGCCGGGAAATTTATCTCTGTAATTGCTTTCACTTGTCCATTTTTTAGTGTTCCAACATGTGGCATTATATCCCAATGAAGCGAGTATGTGGCGTTCAATCCACTATCAACAAAAGGTAAGAAAGAACGTTTTTACAAAAAAAAAAAGAATATCCAAGTCGATTGCTCACATATTCACTCTAACACGAATCACTCACCTAAAGCTTGGTGATATATCGTGAAAATTATATTTATTTCGAAGTTGTCTTAATGTTATGTTAGCGTCCTCTTTTGATCTGATTACCGAATCCCATAATACAATTTGATTTATGTCCTTAAAAATAGCAAATTTATTATTAATTATTCATCTATATTAAAATCTTAGCGAATATTCTATTTCTAACACATACATGCGCCTTTGATTCGTACTCCGCTACCACCGTCACAAACAATTGTTTGGTATTCCAATTGAAAAGTGATGTCAAATCTATTATTTGATTATTATTTTTTTATTTTTTTTTACATGGCAAAAGTTTACAAAGATGAAAAATTTCAAAAAACCTGCATCAATATCCATGTATACAAAAGCAAACTCGTTCGAACTTCCGCCATAATCATATATCCATACTTGCATATTCTTTATATCTACATTGGCTGTCGGCAAAGATGGCAAAAATGGTGTGACAAATGCGATAGCAGCCAAGAGACCAAATGTTACCGTCATTGCAAAAGCAAAAACTGAGTTTGCGCGTTGAGCTAGACTATACATTTTATTCTCTAAATTATAGGGTAAAAATGGATATTTGAAGCGAAGAAATTAACGTGTGAAGGATTTATTGGCTTATACTTGTTTGGCCCGAAGGTCGGAAAATAATTGGTCAGATTTAATAATTAAGAATCTACCATTATTTAAAAGTTGATTGATTGGCTTAACTATATTTGGAGAGTGTGCAATGACTCTTATGAAATAGCTTTTGTAAATTGAAATTTACGCGTTTTGAGTGAAGGCGCGATTTTCGTTCGTGTTGAGAATTATGTTATTTATAAAATTGGTATTAGTTGAATAAAGGTCATGATCAAAACTTATATTACCTATAATTATATAATTACAAATACACCATTACACCAAATAATCATGTTTACTACGAACTAAATATTTCACTAAACAGTATTCCTTGCATTGAGACATCGACATCATCCTCCTCATTATTCCTTTCCACTATAATCTCTTCAACAATACTCTGATCGATGTTATTAAAATCGTCCTTGAAAATATCATCGAATAAATTTGATGATGATGATCCACTGTTGTCGCCACTTGTTTCCGGAAATGTGTTAAAGAATGAAGTTGATGATGGATCGCCTCCATGTATGTTGATTTCGTCGAAAATAGATGTATTGTTCTCGATACCCGCTTTCATAAATGCTTCATCTATTGGTTTATTTCATTACATCAACAAAAGATAACATTATTTAATGATTTAATAAGAATAAGAAATAATAATTCTTACCGTCGTCATCATCATCTGAATAATTTGCTCTACTTCGCTTTCTTTGCTCCTCCTCATCATCACTATCATCATCATCGTCAAATAAACCACCGATATTATTGCGCCTTCGCTTTCCAATACGTCCTTTTTCAAGATCTCGTTGTATTCGAGACACTTCAGCTTGATCTTCTTCCAATATTTGTTGTCTAACCACAAAAGTCATAATTGTCAATTAACATACCAAACAATTTATTCAAAATAAGAATGCAAATAAAGTAAAACTCACTGAAAGAGATTTTGAACATCCAACGAATCAGTATTTTCCTTGCTCATATCGTTATTAATAAATCCTATTAATTCACCAACATCGTTGTCGTCATCTTCCTTATCTGAGCCACCCATTCCTTTATACTCGTCTTCTGACTCTTCGGCTTCATCTTCAATATACATTGACTTTAATTTTTCACTGTCCTTGAATTTTTTTATTATTGAATTCATTGAGAGTTCATTATCTTCATCACCATCCATCATTTTATTGCTTTTTGAGGATTCATCATTTTCGCCTTCGATTTCCTCATCGTCTTCAGAGTTAATTTCATTCTCATCCTCGTCCCTATCCTCAGCATCCTCAGCATCCTCATCCTCGTCATCATCCTCATCCTCATCCTCATCATCCTCCTCCTCTTGCTCATCTGCATCAATATCTGTACCTATGTCAGAATTCTCAAAATACAGATCAATAGGTTCTACATCATCAATAGATTCTGTTTCGTCAATTACGGATTTATTTGCGGAAGCTGAACTAGCGACTGCAGAAGACGAAGAAAGGCTATTCATAACTACACGCGTGGCGTCTTCATCTTCATAATCTGTATCTTTGACTATTGGAGCAAGGTTTACAGTGAATTCATAATTGTCATCCTCGTCGTTGTCATCGTAATCTCCACCATTTGTTCTTGTTGATTGTCTTTGCCGCAGATTCGAATCAAGATTATTAGGTGAACTTTCAATAGTAGAGCTTTTGCTAGACCCACCAACAATCACATTAGAATCTGAATCATAATTATCTTTATTGGCTGGTATTGAACCAGTTGTATGTTTGGTCTTTTTGGAATATCGTTTCCAAAGAGGTTCACGACTTTTGGTTTCGATTTCTCTCTCGAGTCTAGTACTATCTACGTTGTTAGAATTACTTTGCAATTCATTCTCTTGTTCAGGGTCAACTTCTTTATCTTGTACTTGGCCTCCAGAAGACTCTATATTAGAATGTATATTTTGCCCTTCCTTTTCAGTAGGTTCAGTATTAGATTGTTCGGCGTTATGCTCTTGTCCACCAGAAGCTTCAGCGTTAGATTGTGTAGTTTGCTCTTGCCTATTAGAACATTCGACATTAAACTCACTAGCTTCTACACTGTTCTTTCCATTTGAATTTGGTAAAGTATTCTCTTCGCTCGATAAAATATAATCACTTCGTCTTTTTGGCAACAGAACCTGGTGGTGACCAACATGAATAAATAAAAATTGAATTCAAATAAAAAATTCAAAATTGATATCGTTTATATTTATCGACGATATTTACACTTGCAAAAAGACTAGGATCAGATTTCGCTGCTTTAATGAACTGTCTCACACAAAACTTTATAAAATCTTCGAGATCTAGATGCGCTGGAGATTTCGATAATTTCTGAAGTCTGATCAAGGTACGGTTAAATATTTCCAAAGTCGAAAGCTAATGGAAGCATCAATCGATATAATATAATTGAAAACGGAGATTCTCGATTTGATATTGAAAACAAGAAAATTAAAAATTACCTTAAAGAACAACCCTACTCCACGACACTTCACTGCTATTCGTTTAAACATATTAACGATATGTTGGATAGTATTAGTGTTTGGCCAGTCGTAGACGTTTAGGAGAGTGCTGTATATCTTGACCATAGATTCATTGGCAAAGCGCTAGAATCATATCAATTTAAAAATTAGCAATTGAAATTAAAAGTCCAAGATTTTTTATTAAATATAAAGACAACTAATAAGACATAATAAAGAGAACAATTTTAAAAAAATTTATTTACACTTTGAAAAGACTCGAACTTAAATTCGACATCTTCATATTCATACTTCTTTTCCGTTCCAATGGTTTCATCGTCTTCGTCATCTTCATCATCGTTCTCTTCATTGATTTCAGCTTTTTGATCATTATTTTCTTCAGTTGTTTCATTTTCTTCAGTTGTTTGATCCTCATTTTCTGCGGTTGTTTGATCCGCACTTTCGGCTTTATGATCTGCGGTTTCGCCGTTTTCGTCTTTGCTATTAACGGTGGCTGTTCCTTCTGTTGTTTTTTTTCCTTTCTTAGATTTCGTTTCTTATCAAGATTCAAATTTCAATTAATAATATTTAATCACAGTAAAAACAAGAACAGACTAATAAGAAAGTCACCACAAAACACAAACTTTTCTTCTTTCTAGCAACTCGTTTCTTTCGTGTATACAAATGGCTTGCGGCCAAATATTGTTCCAACAACAGAAAGAACACATCAATCATTTCAATCACGCTCTGTAAATATCTGTTTGATGGCAGTTGACGGTGAAATAACGAGATAATTGATTTAGACTCGTAAAGATACGGAAAACACAAGTAAAATATCAAGATATTAAATTTAAATTCATATAATAACAAGTACCCAAGGGATTGAGTCTTGTAATCTCTCACAATTCCAAGAATCATGTCAAAGGTAGTCGCTTCCGAAAATATCTCAGAGAGCAACGCGTTAGCGTCATTTTTATCCTCAGAAAGCAATGATTTGGTCATTTCTTGTATATAGTTAAGCTATTATAATTAGTTAAAGTTTACTTTTAGTAGTCCTTTTTAATAAAAATTATACACTGTACACATACCATATGAAGAAAACATTCGACAGCATAATGCAAATCACTCCACGACTTGATTAAAAAGAAAGATACTCATGAAAACCGGAACTACTAATACAAATCAACAACAAAATAAATAACAAAATAAATAAACCTTTTTATCCCGAAACTCGTCCAATTTCTTTAAAATAAACGAAAATCCATTTATATTCATGATGTTTTGCACCAAATTAAAATTAATCTGTCGTAACGGAGGAGGAGATGATAAAGGTGATAGCAGAAGAGTATTCTCAATATTGCTGTGGTTTCTGTTGTAGTTGTATGGCATTGATGGTTCTTGTGGATTTAGTAGTGGTAGAGGTTTTCGTGATTCATTAATCAGCAGTAATTCCATTTCGATAAAGAATCGAATCATGTATAACAGTTTGACATGATCATTGGGGTGTATTTCTGCCTTTTGATGTTCGATGCCTTTCTTTACATAAAATATCATTTCTGTGGATGAGCCGGGATAGATTATAGAATCGGTAAATCAATAAATGGCGCACATAGTATCGTAGTAATTATATATAAAAAGAAAATTTTCTCTTCACCATTAAGCCCGCCATAATCTATTAAATCGGTTGCTGTTTCTTTGAGCAAACGGAGTGCTATTGGTGTCAAGTTTTTAATTTTATCAAATTCATCCTAAATAATAATATCATCCTCCCCTTAATACATCAATGAAACTTTAATGAATATAATGCTCGCATGTGTAAAGAAACTCACCAAAATTTTTGTTTTCTGGAATTTCTTTTTCCCACGATCAGGTAACTGAGGACCAGGATCTAGCGACGGCTTTTGCCCATGTACTGTAAATGTGAAACCACTCTAACAAACATCAATTTATATTAATTAATTAGTATTATCAGAAACAATTATTAATAATGACAAGATTACTAACCAACTTCATAGTATGCGACCCTCCCCACCGCGAATGTCTCATCATACTGTATTTTTTAGCATCGGCAACTTCTTTTTCTAATAAAAGTTTCAAAGGATCTGGTTGCTCGTCCTTAATCAAAAATAATACACAATATTAATAACATCCTTTTTCAAATCATAGCATGAATTTGAGATTTTCTTTAATATCGTTAATTAACGAAGTACGACTAATCCCAACCCAACAAACCTTTTTCGACAAATCAACAAATATGTCTTTAGGTCTAATTCCAAAAAATATAAAATAAAATATTTCCTGCACTAGATAATACCAGTCCTCCATTTTTTTGCGATTCGAGGCTATGTCCACAAGGAGATGAAGGATTTCTTTTTCATGAAATAATACAATTAGTTGGCTCTGGAATATTTTAAAGGATTATTAATTAAGCAATAACTTTGGATCGATAATAAAAACAAGAATAGAAAACAAACCTGAAGCCTATGTGTATTATCAAGCAATGTGACTGGTTCCTGTATTCCAGTTAAATTGCGAAAGAAGAATAAACAACATCCAATTATGTTACGTGCTTCAGTTCTTTCTTCTCTAGTTCTTTTCCTTAAAACATTTGTGAATAATTAAAAAATCGAATTTAAAAAAAAATAATAACTTTATAAAAAAGCCTATTCCACGTGTCTCAGCGAAAGGCACAATCATAGTCACCATTTCTCCTGTTCCAAATTCTCGCAGAGGAGATCACGAACAATTTCCAAAGCAATCGGATTCCGAATAAACAATTCTTTGAATCGCTGTTGCGCTTCTTGAGCCGCGAGTTGTCTTGTTTTTTGCTCGACAATCGTATCTTCATTTATCATGTCTTCTTCTAAAAGATTGTCATCTCCTTGTAATGATTCGGTCATTTGTATAAAAAGATCAACTAAACCATGATATATTTTTTTTCGTTAATTCCAAAAAAATTCTCAAGAAACACTGCAGTTTATTATGAAAAATAAATAAAAAATACTATATACCACAGCCATAAGTAAGATTCTTTTCGTTTTTATTGCTAATTTTACGATTCAGAGTCACTATCGGGAAAAGATCTTTTTCGAGAGTATTTAAATTTGATAGATATGTGATTACAAGTGGCCGATCAACTCTTATTAACTCTATAATGTTCCTTAAGGCGTCTGCATAAAAAATATTGTTGAAAAGATGTTATAAAAAATAAATGGAACGAACATTCTTATTGACGAATAATACTTGCATTTACATAAATCTCCAATCACATAAACATCTTCAATTTGACCATCATCTAGTAAGGTCTTTTCTCGACTTCCTGTAGTTGGAAAATTTATTATTAGCTAAATAATGCCAAGAGAAAAACGCGATTTTTGTTGCAATATACATATGCATATATATTAACCAAGAGCTAGACACGCTTCACGAAGATATGCTTTTTTCATTTCTTCATGTTCTTCGCGTTTTATTTTATCATTATCACGGTTATCGGAACGTCTTTGTCGACTGGATGATTTATGCTCATTGGAAAGTTCGTCCTCCGCTTCCTCTACTAAGTCCATTTCATCGTCGTCACTTTGATTATACTCGTCTTCAAGAAAGTCAGACATTGGTGAGTCGAAGCAAAATGTTTAAAATGTTTAGAAAGCGAGGGTTTAATTTTCTATATATATGTGGAAAAAAGAAAAAATTTAGAAGTTGATAGAAATGAATTTTTACAATAACGATTGGCGCGTATCGACGCGTTCTTATGGATTCTAACTAGATTAAGATAAATCGATTGGAATTTAGAATTGAACATACTCGATATATCGATATATACATGTAACGGAACACGAAAATTAACTTTCTAGAATTTCTATTTCCATGACTATTAGTTCGAACAAAATAAACAAGTGTTCATTTGAAACCTTGAAGCCACTAATATTTTTTAAAAATAATATAACAACAGATTATTTTGTGAAATAAGGTGATTTAAATCAAAATTTACAATTAGTAAATTTCTCACATTGAAGAACTTTTTTTC